GTATTATCTTTATTTTATTATTCTTTTTTGTCTGCCTGGGATAAGGTCTTTGCATTCTTTTCTTTGTCTCCCCTCCTTTTTTTTTCTGGTCCTCTTTTCGCTATGTTTGGACCTTAGCTAACACAGCTAATTGTTACATACTAGGTTCATAAGGGAGCAGAGTAATGGTGATATTAATTGTTAGGTTATCACTTCCATTTTACCTATCCAAATGTCCCAGTCTTCTATTTGAGTATATCTGTTTTCTAAGCTCAACAAGATACCCCTTATCATGCTTGCTTGCCAAATGACTTGTGTTATTAATTCTTGAATGCATGGGATTGTCTCTCTTTTCCAGTTTCATGCTAAAAGTTGTTTAGCTGCAGTAATTATATGTAAAATTATCATTAATATTTTTTTGGCCAGTTGAAGTTTAGCAAACCACTTCTGGTTTGAAAACTAATTTTATATCCGTTATTTTATATTTAGCCTTAATTACATCTTTCCAGAAATTATTTATGGGTTTGCACTTCCACCAACTGTGGATTAAATTGCCTTCATTAATGTTACATTTCCAGCATCTATCTGATGAATCTGGGGAAAAAAATGTATTATTTCGGTGTTGAATACCATCTGTTTGAAAGCTTAAATTGGGTTTCCTAAGGTTTAAAATAAATTAAATATATTTAACCCCTGAGGGTTAAAAAATAAAGTTAACCCCTGAGGATTAAAAAAAAAAAAACTCTGATCACAGTAAAGTACTGTGATCAGTATTGTGATCACTGCTGTCAGTGATCAAAGGGTTATTCCCTGGTAAATTTTAAATCAGGAATTGATAAAGGGAGTTTTGACACTTTAAAACAATTTGTGTCTGTCAGGGACACATAGTTGCAGACAATCCATCTCTCTCCACTTCAACACACACACAGAGGTGGAGGGAGGCGGATCAGAAGTCCCTGTGACCCGCGTCTAGATCAATTTTAACCATGTTCTAACCCTCATTTTAACCTTCCTAAAACTCTCACTATTTCTATACCTACCTATATGTTAACTTAATTCAACAAAGCTTTTTCATTCACATATTGTTTGTATTGGTGTCACATGATGATGTCATTTTGGTGCCAAACTCCACTTGGAAATGTTTGTATATCCTATATATACTTATTTTTTGCCAGGGGTTGACTTTTTGTTTCTACTTGACAAAGTCCTGTGTGGCAAAACACATTGTGGATTATATTAATGCTGTTTTAATAAAGGAATATTGGCTTCTTTTTTTACTGTGAGTGTGCCATGTACCTTTTTTATTTCTTTTTCTATGACCTGACATCCATAGGCGTGTGCAGCCTATTGCATTAGGGTGTGCACCCTAAAGCACAAGCACACGCCGCATATATATATGTATGTATATATATATATATATACATAAATATATATATGTGTGTATATATATATATATATATATATATATATATATACATACATACACATATATACACACATACACACACTTCTGTGTGTGTGTGCTGTGTGAGGGTGCTGTTAGTGTGATGTGTGTGTGATGGTGCTGGTAGTGTGCTATGTGGGTGAGGGTGTTTGTGTGTGCGTGCATATGAGGATGCTGTTAATGTACTGTGTGTGAGGGTGCTGTTTGTGTGTGTGTGCGCTTGTGAGGGTGCTGTTAATGTACTGTGTGTGAGGGTGCTGTTTGTGTGTGAGGGTACTGGTAGTGTGCTGTGTGTGTGTTTGTTATGGTCCTGTTTGTGTTTGTGAGGGTACTGTTAGTGTGCTGTGTGTGTGTGTGAGGGTGCTGTTTGTGTGCTGTGTGTGAGGGTGCTGTGTGTATTTGTAAGGGTGCTGTATGTGTGTTGGTGCTGTGTATGTCTGTGGGTGCTGTATGTGTGTGGGTGCTGTGTATGTCTGTGGGTGCTGTATGTGTGTGGGTGCTGTGTATGTCTGTGGGTGCTGTATGTCTATGAGTGCTGAATGTATGTGGGTGCTATATGTGTGTGGGTGCTGTGTATGTCTGTGGGTGCTGTATGTGTGTGGGTGCTGTATGTGTGTGGGTGCTGTGTATGTCTGTGGGTGCTGTATGTGTGTGTGGGTGCTGTATGTGTGTTGGTGCTGTGTATGTCTGTGGGTGCTGTGTATGTCTGTGGGTGCTGTGTGTGTGTGGGTGCTGTATGTGTGTGGGTGCTGTGTATGGGTGCTGTATGTGTGTGTGGGTGCCGTATGTCTGTGGGTGCTGTGGCGTCTGTGGGTGCTGTGTATGTCTGTGGGTGCTGTGGGCGTGCGTGGGGTGCTGTATGTGTCTGGGTGCTGTGTATGTCTGTGGGTGATGTATGTCTGTGGGTGCTGTGTGGGCGTCTGTGGGTGTGCTGTATGTGTGTGGGTGCTGTGTGGCGTCTGTGGGTAAGTGCTGAATGTATGTGGGTGCTGAATGTGTGTGGGTGCTGTGTATGTCTGTGGGTGCTGAATGTGTGTGGGTGCTGTGTATGTCTGTGGGTGCTGAATGTGTGTGGGTGCTGTGTATGTCTGTGGGTGCTGAATGTGTGTGGGTGCTGTGTATGTCTGTGGGTGCTGTATGTGTGTGGGTGCTGTCTGGGTGCTGTATGTGTGTGGGCGCTGTATGTCTGTGGGTGCTGAATGTATGTGGGTGCTGTGTATGTCTGTGGGTGCTGTGTATGTCTGTGGGTGCTGAATGTCTGTGGGTGCTGAATGTGTGTGGGTGCTGTCTGGGTGCTGTATGTGTGTGGGTGTTGTATGTCTGTGTGTGCTGTGTGTGTGCTGTATGTGTGGGTGTTGTATGTCTGTGTGTGCTGTGTGTGTGCTTTATGTGGGTGGGTGATTGTGGGGGTGGAGGTGGGGGTACATTACTTGATATCCCCCCTCCCTTCTTACATTTTGTAGGGAGGGGGGGTCGTGCTGCTGATTCCATCCCTGGTGGTCCAGTGGAGAGTGAACTCTAACCCCTGTGGGGCTAGAGTTCACTCTCGCGAGATTTGAGCGTTGCCGTGGCAACGCTCATATCTCGCGAGAGGAACCCGGCGGAGCGGCGGCAATAGCTCCGCCGGGTCCTCTCCTGCCTCCCTCCCTGCATGCGGGTCAGTGGGGAGGGAGGCTGAGAGCAGAGCCGGCGCTCGGATAGCGCCGGCTCTGCATGAGCCGACAGGGAAGATCCTGAGATCTCCCCTGCCGGTCTCAATATGCATAGGCGGGCCGCGGGGATTAGGGTGTGCCCAGGCACACCCGGCACACCCCGTGCGCACGCCTATGCTGACATCCTGTCTACTGTTCTAGTGAGGACCTTGCTGAAGAATCCTAGGTGGGGATCAAACCACTTAAGCTTTATTAATTGAGTGGTCTGTCTACTCAATTAAATGTGAGTTAATTACTTTTATCTCACTCCTGGTTCATTTCATACAGAGAACATTATTGTTGTTTTTTTTTTTCTTTTTCTATGTATTTGGATCCTAGTATTATTACGCTGCTGAGATATCTGCTGTACATATTTTCTTGCATATCCTAGGATTGGGGGATTAATACCACTGCATGCTAACTATGCTAGAGCTACTACTAGCTTTAACAAATGTGAGTAAAACTGCATAAGATCTACGAATACTTGGAGTTTTATTTTTTTGTGACATACTACACTATTGGATTTTCTCTGTAGTTTTCTATTTTTATCCATAGGGATCCCAAGCATTCCTTGACCTGATAATCAAAACAAGTAGAGACTCTTCCACGTGATTGGAATTTTTATTGGACTTTTAATTGTGTTCTTTATTTTTATTTTATGTTGGACTATATTTTTAGTTTTTATTGTGTTCTTATGTATCGACTGTTTTTTTAATAAACAACCTTGGCACCACCTTTTATTTTTTTATCCATTGTATATACCTGTCACTTAGTGGTCTTTTGAGGGAGCCTCATCACTTTAGAGAAGCTGCCTTTGTTTATTTATTTATTTTTACTGTTCCTGTTCGGTTACTCAGCGCAGATCTTTTTTTTTTCTGCCAGGGTGATAGGACCCACCGATGGACCACCAGGGATCCAGACAATTCACCAGGAAAGCAAAAGGTGGGGTTGTAAAGCAGACGTCCATACACTACATACAGCTAGCACATACCACAGACGTGCACTACATACAGCCAGCACACACCACATATACATTGCATACAACCAGCATACACCAGAGACATATATTGCATATCGCAAGCACTCACCATGCACTTATTACACACAGCTGACACACCACACACACACACACACTATGGTGGAGGACATAGGGCGAGATGCAAATTTCCGCAAATTTTTGCAAATTAAATCCAACTTGCAAACATTTCCAGTTGTGACTATAGCTGAGTTGGAGAATTTCTCCAGATTTGCTATTTTTGGCTCAGTTTTCCATTTGGATTTTATTTGGGAAAGTTTAGTGAATAATACTGACAGTAGCCAGACAAGCAGAGTCCCCAAATTTTCTAATATCAAATTATTTTGTGTCAGGACAAGTAGATTGCTATGATGGACAAATAGATTGAACTACTTTTTTAGGCCCTTAAACAATTAGATTTTCAAACATTTCCACAGTCCTGGTGAGAGAACCCTGGGTGGACACTGTTAAAGGATTGATGCAATGGAAGTGAGAATTTAGAGAAAGATGGCACTGGGGAGACACCATAATGAAGAGAAAGACAAAGGACATGAGAATTGAGAGAATGGTGGCACTGGGAGAAAAAACTGGGGGATCACTGCTAAAGAAGAATGGGTAATAGAAGTAAGGATTGAGAGAAGGGAGGCACTGTGGTGGCAAAGCTAAAGAAAAGGGGCAATGTTGGTGAGAATTTAGAAAACAATGAAACTTGAGACACATTACTGAAGTAGAAGGACAAAGGAAATGTCTAATTTTCTAGTACATGCCAATTATACTTTAAAACACTGCTTATATACGAACACTAAAAACACAGATACACAGACTAGTGTTATAATGAATGTAATATATTGTAAATTGCACTCTGATTGCCTCATTTATACAGTTTATTAGAAATGGTGGATCCGTCAGTATATCTTCTGTACTCTCCAGGTCTCAGGTAATACTGGCGGCCTCTGTAGTTAGGTTCCTCATAGAACATCCAGTAGCCATCAAGTATCTGGCAGGAGTGAATGTCATTGTAACAAAATCTGTCATAGACATTGGGGCAGTCTTCAGTGAACTCCATCATATGATCTTTGAAATCTTCTCTATCATAGATCTTCACTCTGAATGAACCATGGTGCTTTAGGGAAAGCAAATTCATAAACAATTAGTGGCTGTATAATAATGTGCATTATTTGATATGAAATATCAAAATCGTACTTACACAGGGTTATTCACTAAAGTCCAAATGGCCCGTATTGAATGTGGCAAAACCATCCGGCTGCATATGGGGTCATTCAAACTGCACAATTCAGACATTGTTCACACTATTTTACAATGTCTAGATTTTTCAATACGTGCACCGAACAAGTCTGCATTTGCACGAGATTTTGGCCGGATTGAATGCTGCCTTATAATTGAAAACTGGATCCAAATGCATCAAATCTGAGCCTGGGTCCATTAAATCCATACTTGTACACTGGCAAGTAAATAGCTAAATAACTCTCGGCAGTGCCAGCAAGCAAATAATTAAATAACTCTAGGCAGTATGAGGGTTAATTATGTAGTTGCTGGCCACTGCTTGTTAGCCAGCCACTACATTATATTGTTTTAAAAAGTTTATATAGTTTTTGGACTCAATACGATCCCCATATTATTGTAAGGAAGGTATAAAAGCTCCCCCTTCATCCACAGGTGGAGGCATATTTTCTAAATGGTTAAAATTAGCAACTATTGCCACTGTCACTGCACAGTCACTAGAAATACCTTATCCTGTAGGATGGAGTTAGTAATATTACAGGGAATGCTTAGTGTAATACTTATTTTAATTGGAACTCAACTGCAGAATTTTCTAATTGCAGTAACTATAAGTTTCACCTCCTTTTATACTGATATGAAACAGTGGTTACTGTATCTTTAAATACACATGTAGGATGTTAATTGTGATTGAAGTATAAGTCAATGATGATTTACACAAGCCACTTAATTCCCATTAGAAATAATTTATGAGAAAATTATTAATGAAGCAGGACAGAGTTGCAATTAGTAATAATTTGATTATTGGAGGGAGAATTAGCCTTAGTAGCAATCCCTTATGAATAATAGGAATAACTTGACAGAATGACACAGTAGAACCTTTAGATACTGTGTAATATTAGTAACAGAAAGTGGCTTGTTTGGAGAAAAAAGTTACTTAACTTAAAAGGCAGTTCTGGAACTGGAGGGGTTAATTACACCCAATGGAGGAGAAATTAGAAGTCCGTTTTAGCAAGCCGAGGTCTAGGAGTGGAGAAGGTAGAAGTCCGTTTTACCAAGCCGAGGTCTAGGAGTGGAGAAGGTAGAAGTCCGTTTTAGCAAGCCGTGGTATGGAAGTGGAGAAGGTAGAAGTCCGTTTTAGCAAGCCGTGGTATGGAAGTGGAGAAGGTAGAAGTCCGTTTTAGCAAGCCGAGGTCTGATACAGGCAGGATCAAGGTAGAGCAGCTGATCACTTTGCAGGCACCTGTGCAAATAATCCAGCCCTTTGAATCTGGCGCGGTCTTCCTAAGTATCGTCGAAGGACCACGTCAGAAAAAAGGGGCGGGGCTAAGCGCCGTGAACCCGGAAGTGGGTTCCTACGGCGGAATGCATGCCAGGCTATACCCTGACACATAGTTTCCCTGTGCCCTCCACCCATTCATTGGACATGGGTGGGGGCCATTAAATAAAAGACAAAGGGGGGAATATTCTAATGTCCCCATCCATGGTTAGCAGATGTGGGTTATTACATTTATACAGATATATAATATCCCCCACAACCCCTACCCAAAGGTGGCAGTTGGGGGCTATTATAATATAACAGAAAATATATAGTGTCCTAAATAATAATATTCTGGGGAGGACATAATGTTCCTCCTCCAAGCCCTCAGTCATAATCACTAGGTGGGGTTTCTTAAATAATGGGATGTGAACATGCCATTGTCCACCCCCACCAAATTTGTAATTGTTCTCGCTCCCAGGTAATTAGTGTTACCCAATCCCCTAGCCAACCCTCTTATGTTAAGGGAATACTACCTTCTCCCTCTCACTCTAATTATAGTGAGGGTGCCCATTGAGACTAATACATCTGAAGAAAAAAAATACACTACCATATGGAGTCTTCTTTCTTGTAATTCTTCTTATCATCAGCCTGAAAAAAGGACAATTAAAAAACCATAATCCTGCAAAGCAACTTCATTGAAGTGGTCTGGGTGCAATATCCCAGATCCCTTAACCCTGCAAAGGTAATTATTGCAGTTTTTAATAAACTACAATAATTACCTGCCGGGTTTCACTTCACCTCTAGTGACAGCCACTAGAGGGACTTCTGGATTGTTAGGCGACTTTTTGGGAGGAGTAGAGGCGGAGCCTGAATCATCACCGAGGGACATCGCAGTTTGAATCAGTTAAGTTACTGAAACCCCCCTCTGCACCATAGGACTTACTTTTATTAATGAACTTGTTTAATGTGGTAGCTTGCTAGCAAGCTCTGGCCAGCCGCCATATAATTAACCCTGCTAGCGATGCCAGTGAGCAATTAGTGCTTAAAACTGTTGTTTGCATGCAAAAAGCAAGTGAAAAACATTTTACAAATGTGCATCTTACTGGCTGCATTTGGCTCAGAATTTTAGTAAAACTGATACTTTGTGAATATTCCAAATCCTAAACTTTTTATAGAATTTGGATGCAAAAGCAGCGATTCACATGTCCCATGTTTAGAGAATAAGCTTGTGTTTTGTTATCATGATACTGTCTAATGTGTTTTTCATGGTTTAATAAAGACTTTGTGATTTAGGATATATTGTATTAAATATGTAACACTGTTATCCTAAAGAGAAAGTTATATTTTCCAACTTAAATATATGACTTGCAGAATAAAATGCATTTTTAAGTGCCCGCTTTCATTATCTGCTTTTTAATAAACATATATACCTGTGGACTAATACGACAGGATCTAATGGAGTCATTGAACCCCATCCATTGATTGAAATCAGAATATTCTCCCCTCCTAAGGTAATACTGGTGTCCCCTATGGTGAGGGTGCTCGTACAGGATCCAGTTTACAGTTTCCACTCGGATAGAATTGCAACTCTGAAAATATTTGGTCAAATCTGAACACTCAGAGCTACAATCATAATGGTGGCCCTGAAAGTTGCGATCTTCATAGAAAATAATCTGTGGAAGGAAACATTTAGCACATTAAAATTTAGTATTTTGTTTCCTATGTTTGTTTATTTTTTACATGATATTCTGATAATTTATCCTATTATTACAGTGCCTTTTAATTATTTAAAAGTTGACATTAGACTTGTGCACGGCGTGATTCTTCGTTTGGAAAAAAATTATTCTGAAATGTAATTTCTTTTTTTGACGAGTCCCAGGCTTCTTTATAGGTTGCTGGGCTTGGCCGAATGTTGTCCATGGAATAAGATTAGAAAACACATTTGGGCATGCCAAAATACAGGAAACAGGCATCTATTAGTGTACAACAATGCAAAAATAGCTACAAAATTGCTACATTTGTATTTCTGAGGTTTGATGACTTATAACACAATTCTTTTTAGAATATTAACATAAATTTATCTATCATTAGAAAGATAATGTAATGTGCAAAATGTAATTCAACACACTTTAATAAAGAAAATGCAATTTAAAAGAAGTCATACAAAAAAAATTCAATCAAGTTAAGAAAACTATATCAAAGTGTCTTTCCGAACTTTTCACCATTTCTGTTTGTTCTCAATTGGGAAACATTTTGTCATAATTCCAGCCTTACAACAGCGTTCTTTGAAGTGAACAAAGTATTTTAGTTAATCAGGTGTTGTACTATAAAACCAAGATTTACATATTAACTTCTCTAAATTTAAAAATTTTCTCCACACCTTGTAACTTTTTAAGTTTCTTACCTTAACTGTGTAATTATACTATGTTTCATTCTCAGTTTACCAAGTACATCAGTTTACATAAAAGTGAGTTTAGATTTACAAGCAACATGAAAAAAAAAATAGCAGAATAGTATGCAAATATATTTCCTTATATCATATAATTTTTTTTAAAATATATGGTTACCTATTTATGTCAACCCACTAGTTGTTTTGTGGTAGACATCTCTTTTAAAACAACAATTGTTCATATTTTATAAAATGTAATTTGGATATGGATTGTGTTTCTACTGCAGATGAGGTTTTTAATATGACCTGACCTTCCCCATTTTCAGTTTAGAGATGATCTGCTCAAGCAAGCTGTGTGGTCACACACGATGAGGGGCCTTTATATACCATGTTTCTTGCTGATGCTTACATCCACAGAAAGCAATGCTGAGCTGTTTTCTTTCTGCCACTAGGTAGAATGTATAGCTATTGTATCCTTTATTGTGTATGACACAGCTCTATACTTGTATGTGACTGATGTTTGTATACTTGCTGGTACCTCCATTTCATGGCTCTTCCTAGAGAGCTCTACAATAATGTGACAAGATCTGTTCTTTTCAAATGCTTTTAATTGTTTATAAATAATAATAATATAAATAACATGTATACTTTTTTTTGTTTTAACAAGCAGTAATGTATAGATAATATGATATGTGAGCATTGACATAATGCAAAAAGATCTTCAATATAGATACTTTATCAATAGTATTAGTAACAGTATTAAGATCATAATTGAAATACAGAAAAACAAAAAGGAAAAAACTGAGGAAAAATAAATAAATTTCACATCCATAGTATGATATGAAATAATTAAATACAAATAAGTTTGTTTAAAAAAATAAAAAGTTTTTGGAGTCATATATATTTGCATAGATGTCATATACGGTAAATAATGAGTCAAACATAAGTGAAACAATGTTTTTATCGGTCAGGTAGGAACATTGTCAAGCTGTTATGGACAGATGAATTAAAATAAAATGGCTATTTACTAATGTCTATTTATTCTGTGTTCACTATGTTAAAACTGGCTGCTAGAGTAAATATTCCCTTCCCCCCCTACAATGTGTTCCGTTGATGTTTCCTATGTAAATTCTTCATCCTGCTAGCCTCCCTCCTCCCCATCAAGCAAACCTTGTGTAACCAAAATTCCTGTGTTAACAGCTTCCTTTACTTACTCCTCCCCCACTTCCTTTGTGCCAGTTAACAGCTATATGTCACGTGTAACAAAATGGAGAATCACTGTTAAAGTAACTGAAAGAAACTACTCACTCCCCCTCCCATCGTGTATCCAGGAGCTGGAATATAGGCGGGAAAAGTCTGTAATGATGACACTACATCCTGTAAAGGGGGGTTAGACAAGACCCCTTAGACTGTTAACCAATTGTTGAATGTATACTGTATGTTTAAACTGTGACATATTTTTGCTTTAAGAAGGAGCCCCCACTCCGGGGAATAAAGCATTCCTTGGTTTTTCACTGATCAGAAACTTTGTCTCCGGTGTGAATTACTTCTAGGGAAAGCGTGCACGCATTAATTAATCAATTTGGAAGGTGTAGATAGACAAATTATCAAAGTTTTCTTTGATCCAAAACAAAGCTTGTACTTACTGCTCATAGATCTGTTCTAACATTATGTCAATATTTTACCTTCTTACCCAAGAGAGAACATTGTAAATCAGCAAAATTAAACCAATATTTGCTGTGAGAATAAATTATCCAGCAATTATCAGTTTTATATTTGTTGGATATTTTTGAGCTTCCTGGTACTAAAAATAGTTTTCTTTATCAGTAAATATTAACACGTATTGTGGACCTATGATCAAGACAAATTCAACAATACAATTGTATTGGAAGATCTTTGTAGTTTGTAAAGCTGTATTACCTTATAGTAAGGTATAAAGTCAATAAACATCTAGTTCCTTGGTGTCCAACCTTTCGGCTTCCCTGGGCCGCATTGACCGCAGTGGAATTGTCTTGGGCCACACATAAAATCTATAATATAATTAATTTATATATAAAACTTCAAAAACCCTTTTCTTAATTTTGTTTAGTAGATAACTCCCTTATTTCTTATTTTTATGTGGGATTGTCATATTTAAGGATACCAAATTAGGGAGCTATCTACTAAACACATGCACACGTATATGCATATGCACACATAACCACAGATACACACACACAATCGCATACACACACACACACACACAATGTCAAACCTATACACACATAATCAAAGACACACATACAATCACAGACCTATGCGCACAATCACCAATATACACACAATCACAGACCCACACATACAATTACAGACCTATACACAGTCACACACACACACACACATAATCACAGATGTACACACACACAGAAAATTTGTTGCTAAAACCAGAATGGAGCTTGAGTGATCGGAAGAGACACAGTGGTGGTAGTGGGGAGAAAACAGGGGGGGAGGAGGGGGGAGAATACTTATTTAAATCCAAATCCAAAAAGTGCTCTGTGTGCATGATAGATGGTTGACTGTGTATGTAGTGAATATATGTATAACTATTACACACTACACTTGTGTCAGTATAACTACTATAGCTATTACACTCTAGTTAGTATCTCAAGGGACCTGGCTATAAGTATAGTAGATGATGTCCTTAACAAGAGGGCACAACCTTTCTTTGCAGAAGAAGCCAGTTTAGAAAGCTTGCAGGACTTCAGAATATGTATTAACAAATAAACAGTTAAAACCAATTAAAATAATAAACAATCAATTATTAAAGTACTCAATATGATACTCAGTTGATAGTTCATAGGCTATCCTTCTTCTGATTTCCCCCCAACCCCCTTTATGAGATTTATCAACCGGTTAATTCTGCTTCCTCCCCTTTTCTCTTGTCAGTTCAGGATCCCATTGGTTGCTGCCGTCTGGTTGCGGCATAAGGGAGATTTCTGACCTGCTAGCTGTCACTTGCTGCATCCTTTATCATTTCGAGAAATGGCGCGGTGGACCACACCGCATTAGTTCCTCTTTCAAGTCCGTCATCTTGTTTATGGGCAAATTATGTCCTCCTAAACTGTATTTCTGTATCATCCATTACTCCAATTTGTATACTGGTAAGAGACCTACCAACTAAGGGTAAAGGTCTTCTGTGTATTATCATACATGTTATGGAGAATGCTGCACTCATTACTTCAGCATCTCACAAGTACATATTACCATACAAATAAACCACATTCATATAGAGGGAAAAAATTAAACTAAAAACCTCAAATTAATTAGTAAAACAGTTTGGAAATATTTTTATATATACAAAAAAAGGGAATGGTCACAACTCTAGCACCTAAACTAAAGCATATCCACAGAATTAACTTATTATTTCATAAAAAAATGTGATATATTTTGTACACATATAACATTGTAATGTATTTCATGATGATGAATCAATATCCCTTCCTAAAAATACGCTTTATATTAAAAATTGATCATTATAAATAGGGACGCATGTCAAAGTCACAATTGAGACCAAATGGTACTAAGGAATTGAAATTAAAAATCCATTTCATCTCTTGTCCCATCTTTTTAACTAAATCCTATCCCCATAAATTGAAGTTTGGTAGGATCACTATCACAGCAAGAGGCTATGTTTTTCAAAACTATTCCTAATGTTATGTATATGCTCTCGTGTTCTCAGGAATCTGAGGGATCTGGTTGTTTTGTTTACATATCCCAAACCATATGTACATAAAATTAAATATATTACTTTTTTTTTTGAGTGACACGTAATTAGCTGTTTAATAGTAACATTTCTCTCTTATTCTGTGGATTGTTAAAACCTTTTATAAATCATATTCATTCCTGTATTTCTACATTCCCTGCAATTTCCACACCCATAAAGGCATTCGGTTAATTAAAAAAAACCTACATGATATCCTGCTAAATAATAAACTAATGTCTCTAAAATCTTCAGGTAAGTTAGCTAAAGGGACACTTCACTGCCCACATTCAAAACAAATAAACACTACTTAGTAGCGATAACCTCAATGAAAATATCCATGCATTTAATTATGCATTTTTTTATTGGGGCTATAACTAAAAACAGCTTGCAAAAGCTGCAGTTCTCGTATCTGAAAATGTCTTAAGTCTTGCCCTTCCAACCCCGCTCAGACCTTCTGTGGCTGTCCAATTATAGACTTCCCAATGCAGCTCAATGAGAAGACTTTCCAAGGCAGGTGCTCTGATCAATTGCTATCTCTTGTGTTTAGCTCCACTGAGCTAAACCTACCAGGAAGTAGTAGGACTGCTTGTACTAAGTACCATCTATCAATGACGGACTACATTTCCCGTTAAATAATTATGTGATAGTGATGCTACGTAAGTCTTGCGTCACCTGAACTGCTTCTAGATGAATTTTAACCATGTTATAACTCTTGGTTTTGCATACAAAATTATAATAAGTGCTCAACTAGTATTGGTTAATTTGGTGAATTATGTGGTTAGGAAAATGCTGGGTGCTTAATGAGAACCATATCCCCCACCCTGTCCAAAACCATAGTAAAAAATAAACCCAAAACACACCAAAATATATTGCACATAAAATAATTTTTATTCATACAGTGAATCAATAAAAGTCATAAAACAAAGTACAATAAATAGCACAGTTTAGTTTAATGTACTCAAACTCAAAACCCATATAACAAATTTATTCACAGGCATACTGACCTAGAGCAGGAGATAGTCAAATCCCAATGTTTCAGGCATCTAGCTTTCCTTATATTAAGGCAGCATTTCCTTAATTGGGGTTGTGCCAAAAGTTTCAAAAATAAAATGGCCGCAGGCGGTGATGGAGCAGTGAGCAGTGATCTCCCTGCTCAGCTCCCTCACGCGCACAGCAGTGATGCTGGAGCCGGAATATGATATCAGTGAGAGTGAATGTGTGCTTGTCAGTGAGTGTGTGAGAGTGTATGTTTTTGTCAGTGAGAATGTATGTGTTCTTGTCAGTGAGTATGTGTGTTTGTCAGTGAGAATGTATCTGTGTCTGTCAAAGAGTATGTGTGTCTGCGTGTGTCAGTGTGTGTCAAGGTTTGTGTATGTGTCACTGTGTGTGCCAGTGTGTATCAGTGTGTTTGCATGTGTATGTCAGTGCGTGTGTATTTGAGTATGTCAGTGTGTGTATGTGCCAGTGTGTATATGTCACCGTGTGTATCTGAGTGTGTGTGTTTTTGTGAGTTAAAATGTGTGTCAGTGTGTATCTAAGTGTCTATCTGTATGTCAGCGTGTATCTGTGTGCCACTATGTGCCAGTGTGTATCTGTGTCAGATACATATATATACATACACAAACACACACACACACACACACTGACACAGAGATACACACACAAACACAGATATATACACCTTGATACACACCGGCTCATACAAACACAGATACACCATGTTGATACTCTGTGTCAAAGGGTTTCATAGGAAAGATTAATTGGGAACCCCTGCATTAAGGTAAAAACCCTTGTTTAAACCTTCCTATAATTCTAGCACATTTATATACCTAAGAAGAAAAGTTACATGCACTCTTCCCAAATCCCTATGCATATTTAAACAAATGGAGGTTATTTAGTTGCTCCAATGGCCATGAGAGTTTAGCTCATCTACCATGTCAAGGCAAACCTCTCAGGTGGGTCCTACACTAACCTTTCACCTTGTTTCCTTGAGCTTCTGGCAAATATATCTCTAATGAGACAAAGAACACATGGGATGGGTGTAACATAGCTCTGTTATACAAAAGTGAATAGAAATAGAAAAAAAAACAAGTCCTGCTCTTAAACTCCCACTACTTTTTTTTCTTTGGTTTTTACTGCATGTATTGGGATTGATGTGTACTGCGGTCATTGCTGCCGCCCAAGAGTAGTGGGAGTTTGAGTGCAGGCTTTTTTTTTTTGGTATTTACATTTATATACCTACCTATATTATTGGCATATTGTTTGTATTAACGTCACATGATGATGTCATTTTGGAGCCAAATTCAACTTTGATATGTTTGCACATCCTGTAAATAGTTCTGTTTGCCAGGTTTTGACTTTTTGTTTCCACTTGATAAAGCCCTGTGTGGCAAAATGCATTGTGGATTTTTTTTTTAATTCTGTTTTCATAAAGCAATATTGGCTACTTTATTACTGTCAGTGTGCCATATACCTTTTTTTAAATTATTTTATGTTTTTTCTACTGCTCGGGGCAGTCTTCAAACATTGGAGGAGTCTTCAGTGAACTCCATCATATGATCTCTGAAATCTTCTCTGTCTACTGTTCCAGTGAGGACCTCGCTAAAGAAGGTGGGGATACAACTACTTATGCTTTATTCATTGAGTTGTCAGCCTGCTCAATTAATTGTGAGTAAATTACTTTGATGTTACTCCTGGTTCATTTCATATGTGGACTTTAATGCTGTTTTTTTTTTCTCTATTTATTTAGGTCCTACTTTACGCTCCTGAGACATATCTTCAAGCATATTGTAGAAGTGGCAGATTAATATCACTACACGCTAACTACACTAGAGCTAGTACTAGCGCTAACAAATGTCAGTAATACTACAGAAAATCTACAAATATTAGAGTTTTATATTATTGTGAGATACTACACTATTAGATTTTCTCAGGTTTTTTTTTATTTTATTTTTTTTAATAAAGATCCCAAACATTCTTTGACCTGATAATTAAAACAAGGAGAGACTCTTTCATGGGATTTTGTTGTATCCTTGCAAATTAAACATTGACTTTTCATTGGAGTTTTTATTGTGTGGGTTTTTTTTTATATTGGACTTTATTCTCAGTTTTCATTGTGTTTTTATATATATTTATTTTTACTGTTCCTGTTTGGTTACCCAGCACTCATCCTTTGTTATTTTTTCTGACAGGATGATAGGACCCACTAGTGGACCACCAGGGATCCAGAAAAGTCACAAGGAAACCAAAGGTGGGATGACAAAGCCCCACACACTACTTACAGCCAGCACATACCACAGACACACACTACATAGAGCCAGCACAGACCACATACAAATGACATACAGCCAGAACACGCCACACACATTACATACAACCAGCACACACCATAGACTTACATTGCGTACAGCAAGTACTCACCACGCACATATTACACACAGTTGACACACACCACAAACACACTATCAGGAGAGAGGGTGAGATGCTAATTTTCAAAAAATAAAATCAGAATGGCAACCAGTTTCCAGTTGTGACTATAACTGAGTTGGAGAATCTCTTCAGATTAACTATTTTTGGCTAAGTTATCCATTTGCATTGTATTTGGGAACATATAGTGAGCAATACTGCAAATATCCAGGCATCAGCAGGGTCCTCAAACTTTCTAATTTCAAATTATTTTGTGTCAGGACAAGTAGATTGCCATGACGGACAAATGCATTGAGTTACTAATTTAGGACCTTGGAAATTTTTTTTTTTTTTAAAAACATTTCCACACTACTTGAAAGGTAAGGGACAGTGAGAGAGCCCTGGGTGGATACTGTTAAAGAAGTGATACAATAGAAGAGAGAATTAAGAGAATGATGGTATTGGGGGAACACCACTAAAGAAGAGATAAACGGACATGAAAATTGAGAGAATGGTGGCACAGGGAGAAAACAGTGGGGAATCACTGCTAAGAAAGAATGGGTAATAGAAGTAAGGATTAAGAGAAGAGAGGCACTGTGGTGACAAAGCTAAAGAAGTAGGGCAATTTTGGTGAAAAGTTAGAAAAAACTAGAGAGAAATTTCTAATGAAGAAGGATAAAAGAGTTTTATTTTCTCGTACATGCTAATTATACTTTAAAACACTGCTAATATAAGCACTGTAAAAACACAATAACACATACTAATGTTCTAATAAATTTAATATATTGTAAATTGCACTTTGATTGCCTCATTAATACAATTTATTAGACATGGTGGATTCTTCTGAATGAGCCAATTCTAGGGTTTGTGGCACCCCAGTCAGAATATCTTTTGTACTCTCCAGGTCTCAGGTAATACTGGCGGCCCCTGTAGTTAGGCTCCTCATAGAACATCCAGTAGCCATCAAGTACCTGGCAGGAATGAATGTCATTGTAACGGAATCTATCATAGACATTGGGGCAGTCTTCAGTGAACTCCATCATATGATCTCTGAAATCTTCTCTATTATAGATCTTCACTCTGAATGAACCATGATGCTTTAAGGAAAGTAAATTCATAAACAATTAGTAGCTGTATAATAATGTTCATTATTTTATTTGAAATATCAAAATCGTACTCTGACAGGGTTACTCACTAAAGTCCAAATGGTCCCATATTAAATTGGGTAAAACCATCTGGCTGCATTGGGGGTCATTCAAACTGCAAAATTCAGACATTGTTCACACTACTTAGCAATGGTAAGATTTTGACATACAGGCACCAAGTGGGCCTGAATTTCCACCAGATTTTAGCTGGAGTAAATTCCACCAAACAGATGAAAACTGGATCCAAATTATTCAACTCTGAGCCCAGATGCTTAAATGCTAGATATAAAAAAATTAAAAAATTAAAAAAATTGTCCACTGGCAAGCAAATAGTTAAATAACTCTCAGCAGTGCCAGCAAACAAATAAATAACTCTAGGCAGTGCTTGGGTTAATTATGTAGTGGCTGGCCAGTGCTTGCTAGCCAGCCGCCACATAAATAGTTAAAAACGAAATTCTATAGGACTCATTAAGGTATATCTCCTAAATGTTTGAAATTAGCGACTAGGCAATCATTGCCACTATATAGTCTCCCTGTGTCCTCCACCCCTTCCCTGTCCATGGCTATTTAATAAAAGACAATGGGTGGAATATCCTAATGTCCACACCCATGGTTAGTAGATGGAGAATATTACATTTATACAGACACATATACCCCGCCCCTACCCAAAGGTGGCTGCTGGGGGCTGTTATAATTTAAAGCAAAATACATAATGTTCTTAATAATAATATTCTGGGGGAAACCTAGTGTTCCTCATCAGAGCCCTCACTCATGGTCACCAGATGGGGGCTCTACATAATTAAATAATGGGAGGTGGACATACCATTGTCCACCCCACCAAATGTGTCATTGTTATCCTTCTCAGGTGACTAGGAGTACCTAATTCCCTAGACCCCCCCACCCCCCTTACATTAAGGGAATTCTACCTACTTCCGCTCACACTAATATTAGTGAGGTGGACTATTAAGTCTAACATATGTAGAAAAAAATCATTAACACTTACCATCAGAAGTCTTTCTAGCACTGCAAGTGAGCAAATAATACTTAAAATGTTGTTTGCATGCAAACAGCAAGTGAACACTATTTTGCGAATATGCATCCTACCGAATGCATCTGTCCCTGAATATTAGTAAAACTGGTACTTTGTGCATATTCCGAATCCTATACTTTGTATATAATTTGAATGCAAAAGCAGCAATTTTAAACTGGACATATATTTAGCAAATATGAAAATTGCCACTGTGGCCAGAATTAAGTCATTTTCACTATCTGGGCTAAATCTTTTTTTTTTTTAGCAAATAATCCTGCAAATGTGTTTTGTGACCCTCATACTTTCCAATGTGATTTTCATGGTTTAATACAGACACTGTGATTTAGGGTAAATAATATTAAGTATGTAATAATGTTATTCTAAAGAGAAAGTTATATTGTTCAACATAAATATACATGACTTGCAGAATAAAATGCATTATGAAGTGTATCTTTCATTATCTGCTTTTTATAAAACATATATACCTGTGGGCTAATACGACTGGATCTGATAGAGTCATTGTACCCCATCCATTGATTGAAATCAGGATATTCTCCCCTCCTAAGGTAATACTGGTGTCCTCTATGGTTCGGGTTCTCATACAGAATCCAGTTTCCATTTTCCACTCGGATGGAATTGCAGCGCTGGAAATATTTGGTCAAATCTGAACACTCAGAGCTGCATTCATAATGGTGGCCCTGAAAGTTGTGATCTTCATAAAAAATAATCTGTGAAAGGAAACATTTAAATATCTGGTTTAATTTTCATGTTTTTTTTTTTTTACATCTGCATGATATTCTGATAATGTATCCTTATTTTACAGTGCCTAGTTTGCATTTTAATTATTTAAAAGTTGGTGTTAGACTTGTCCATGGCATGATTCTACGGTTGAGGAAAAAAGAAATCTAAAATGTATATTTTATTGGACAAGTCCCATGCTTATTTATAGGTGGTTGGGCTTGACTAAATGTTGTCCATGGAATAATATTAGAAAACACATTTGGGCATGCAAAAAAATTAAGACAACAATGTTAAAGTGTCGTTCATAACTTCTCACTATTTTTGTTTATTCTCAGTTGGGAAACCTTTTGTCACAATTACAGCCTTACAACAGCGTTCCTTGAAGTGAATCAAGTGTTTTAGTTCATCAGGTATTATACTATAAAACCAATATTGTATGGTTGCTTCTGTCAGTTGTCTTTTTATTCCTTGTTTTTAATTCTAACAACTTTCCTTAACTGGCCCAACAGATCTTCTGTTGGTTCTGTCAGTGCTATTATCTAGCAGTGCATTATGATTTTCCTAAAACTATTTTTTTTGCCTCCCCCTCCCCCCCTTCAAAATGACAAGGAGCTGAGTACTATTAAAGCATATATTATCCTGGAAAAGATCACGTGCCAAAAGCTTTAGTTTTGGCTTAAGTATATCCTTTTTTTGTTATTTACAATACCATTACTACTCACACAAAATCAGCCCACATCATGTGCTGAACCAATCAGGATCTTCTCATAGAGATACTTTGAATCAATACATCTCTATGAGGGATGTTCAGCGTCTCGATGAAGTGCATGGAGAAGCTGAAAGCTGAAAGTACCTCTACCTCTAGTAGTGACTGCCACTAAAGGTATTACTAGGCACTAATGTAATTAATGTAATTAAACTGTTGTGGTTCTGGTGACTATGTAGTCCCTTTAAAATATGTCCTGTAGTGGTTTCACCCTGACTGACTGAATCTTGCTTGCTTAATGGCATTATTTATTACACACTCAATGACTGTCACTAGACTGAATGTGTGGGAAAGATTTGTTCTTCTCGTGGTGAGTGAGTCATCAATTGCCCATCAATTGCCAATGCCCATCCCCTTTTTCATGAGAAAAAAAGTGACTGTCCTTCAGCATGGAAAAAAAGCAGTGCCCTATTAGCTTTGACAAGCTACAATTTCCACACCACATGACTTAACCACTAGTATAATGAAGGGCATTTTAAAAGAGTAGGGCAGCAGTAAGAGTAAATTTTTTAAAAAACAGGATTTCTCAAAAGCTGAAAGGAAAAAATAAGTGGGTAATTGACAACCCACTCACCACTTCTAGCCTGAGAAGAACAAACATTAGAATACTGAACAAATAAACATTAGAATACTGAACAAAGAAACATTCATATATATAGAGGGGCAGTAAACCCTAAAATATTAATGTGTGTTAATGGAGCATATAGTCTTTATGGAATAAGCAGAATTATACCTGGGCCTGTTGGCCAAAATATTGTAAGCTGTTTTGGCATGTGTAATGTAAATAAATCTGTTTTATGCTGCTTGTGCCGTGAAGTCTATGTGCTGCACTAGTACACAGAAGAAAACTTTCCCACACATCCTGTCTGTAACATCACTGAGCATTATTCAATGTGGAAAAAACAGTGCCCTAGCAGTTTATACAAATTGTGGCTGAAAAAGAAACATGTATAGTCACACTACAAGCCAGGTAGGGTGAAACCAACCCATTACAATGAAAGGTATTTGAAAACAACCTACTTGTGGCTGTTCCCTAACCATCTGTCTCTTTTTTTCTTCACCTCTTAATTGGACAGGAAATGCAACCTACATCATGAGGGTTCTGACTGTTCCTATCCAGCCTGTCTCTGTTAACTACTGACACTATTTTCACCATGTCTCTGCTCTGTCTAACGGTGCTGGTAGCAGTAGTGGAGAAGGTACCACTGGTGGAAGTGAGTTGCAAATAATCAGATACAGTACAAGTAGACCTGATGCCTGTCCTAGTGCATTCTCTTTATACTTCTTCCCTCAGTAATGAAGACTTCTGGTGCTTTTGCAAATTTTAATTTATGCCAGCAATAGTAAGTTGATCCTTCACTCTCCCCTTTCCCACTTCCTTGCTGCACAATTTCCTCTTTGCAAGTCAGGCTTCTGGAGGGCACTCAAACTTTGCTACACTGCAATGTATTAGGCTCAACCCTTGGCCTTGTATTTGTTGATAAAACAGGTGAATTTGCATTGGGGCAGTGAAAGCTGTCACAACATTAGCTTGTACACTAGCACCAATTGATTAGTGGAATTGTTGATTATGGTAGTATATGTGATCGGAGTGGTATTGGAGGTGGTGGTAGTGGTAACATTGGCAGCATGTGAGCTATTTGTGCCAGTGGTAGAAGAGGCAGGTGGTTTCTCTGAATAATTTGGCAATTTTAAAGCAGGTGGAGGACTTTGACAAAGTGTATAAGATACAGGAGGAGAGTACTTACCAACAGTCAAAAAGAGTGGCAGGCTGCTGTCTGACTTCTCCACACTCTCCTTTTTTTAATTCCTCCATGTTGGGGGATTATGACTATATATATATATATACATCTGATTAATATGTGCTTAATTAAGTCTGTGTGTATGGGCAGTGGCGGACTAAGGGGGGGGTGTAGGGGGCAGTCCGCCCCGGGTGCCACCTGGTAGGGGGTGCCTTGACCCTGGTCTGGGGTGTCACACAGCTCTCATGGAGAGACCAGCAAGATGAACTGGCCGCACAGGAGGAAGAAGGGGGCGGAGCTATGGCCGTTTAGGGGCGGGGCCTAACCGTGAGCAGGGGCCGCTGTTGTTAATGCTGCACATGGAGGTGCAGCAAGAAGAAAAATCCCTGCTCCTCCACCTACCAGGCTCCAGGGAAGGACTTCAATGAATCCACTCCTCCAGCCCACACTGTAATTAAGTATAAGAGAGTGTGTGTGTGTGTGTGTAATTGCCTGAAACTGTGTGTGTGTAACTGCCTGAAACTGTGTGTGTGTGTGTGTGTGTGTAACTGCCTGAAACTGTGTGTGTGTGTGTGTGTGTGTGTGTGTAAAACTGTCTGAAACTGTGTGTGTGTCTGTAACTGCCTGAAACTGTGTGTGTGTGTGTGTGTGTGTGTCTGCCTGAAACTGTGTGTGTGTGTAACTGTCTGCCTGTGTGTGTATGTGTGTGTGTGTGTGAGACCGTCACTGTGTGTGTGTGTGTGTGTGTGTGTAACTGCCTGAAACCGTGTGTGTGTGTGTGCGTGACTGTCTGTTTGTAACTGTGTGTGTGTGTGTGACTGTCTGCCCGTGTGTGTGTGTGTGACTGTCTGTCTGTAACCGTGTGTGTGTGACTGTCTGCCTGTGTGTGCGGTGCGGACTGTCTTCAGTGTAACTGTGTGTGTGTGTGTGTGCGTGACTGTCTGTCTTGTGTGTGTGTGTCTGTAACGGTGTGTGCTTAACCGTCTACCTGTAACTGTGTGCGTGTGTAACGGCCCGCCTGTAACCGTGCGTATGTAATGAATCGTCTACCTGTAACTGTGTGTGTGTGTGACTGTCTGCATGTAACTTTGTGCGTGACTGCCTGTAACTGACTGTGTGTGTAACTGCCTGTAACTGTGTGTGTTTGTGGCTGTAACTATGTGTATGACTGTCTGCCTGTGACCGTGTGTGTGACTGTATATGTGACTGTCTGCCTGTAACAGTGTGCGTGTGACTGTCTGCTTGTAACTGTGTGTGACTGTCTGTCTGTAACTGTGTGTGAGGGGGTGCAGGGATTTTGTAGAGGGGGGCAGGGGTTTTAAAAAGTTTACAAATTTGTTCAATAAATGTTTTTAAAAATGTAAAAAATATAACAAATTTTAAAAATGTTGTAGTTTTTTTTTTGAGAAGCGGGGGTGGGGAGAGAGGAAAGGGGGGGTGCTAAACCCAGGACCCGCCCCGGGTGCCACATGCCCTAGGTACGCCCCTGTGTATGGGAGATCAGGAATAATACAACAGCTCATACTCGTAGTCAAGTAGCAGCTGAGCTATTAGTAACAGGTCTCTGTCTGTAGTGGTGGGGAAAAGAGCAATGTCATCATCATCATCAGGTTTATAATTGTCACCACCATACCATACATTGGGGACACAATCACTGCTGGTCTGTCTATCTCAATAGCTGAAGTCAAAGTGGATAGAATAATATTTCTTGAAAATATATAGATATCTTACTGCTTCTACTTTTTACTCTGTAATGTTTGGTTCTTACTTGATCGGTTAATAAATTCAACGTTTAGTGGCTGTACCCTAACCATCTGTCTCTTTTTTTCTTCACCTCTTAATTGGACAGGAAATGCAACCTACATCATTGGTCAGACCTCTGACCAATGAGCTGCTTATTTGCAAAAGTCTACTTCCTCTCCATTCTGTCCATCTTTGGACATCACCTTGTCATTCACATTTTTTTATGTCAGCATGGCACTTCAGAGATGCAAATTTACCCAATCCTAACCTGGCCCAATATCAGTTTGGCTAAAACTAAAGTTCAAGACTAGTTGGCATCATCTCCAAAGTCCTGTAACATTGTTATGAATGGAAAAATTTAATTTTACAAATAAATGCAATTTGTATAACTAATAACATCACTGTAAAAAAGATAGACCTGGGAGAAAAATTAAAATAAAAAATATAAAAGAACATAGGAAGGAAATGGGTGTGGTCCTGATGCACTGTGAGAAGACCTTTTCATTATGCCCATCAGCTGGGTTAATACTTTTGAATAATCCATAGAGCCCAAATGGAATAAAATGGTTTAAGGTTATGATGAATTATAGCTGTTAACCTATCCATCTGTATATTAATTACTATGAGTATAAAAGTTTAAAAATATTAAGGACTTATTTTCATGACTATTGGAAACTTGTACCAACATGCCCGTAATTGCAAAAATGACTGCTGCTACTGTTATACACTTTCTACTAAGCAGTGAATATGTAAGCACTAAAGCCAATAAGCATATCTAAACATCTTGCACATAAACATTTGTGCATTTTCAGAACCTTTACATATTAACTTTTCTAAAATTTTAAATTTTTTTCCAACACTTTGTAATTTTTTAGTTTCTTACCTTTATTGTGTAATTATACTATGTGCCACTCAGGCTAAGTTCCTTTCTCAGTTTACCAAGTACATTAATAATGAAAAAGTGAGTTTAGCTGATTTGAGTATACATTGACAAGCACCGTGGGAAAAATAGCAGAATAGTATGCAAATATGTTTCATTATATCAGTAAAGCCTACTTATGGTTATCTATTTAAGCCAACCCACTAGAGTTGCTTTGTGATAGACATTTCTTCAAAACACAAATTGTTCATAATTAAAAAATATAATTTGGGTATGGATTGATTTTCTACTGCAGTAACAGTTGAATATTTAATTTAATAAGATAACCTTACCTTTCCCATTTTCAGTTTAGCGTTGATCTGCTCAAGCAAGCTGTGTGGTTACACAGGACGAGGGGCCTTTATATACCATGTATCTTGCTGATGCTTACATACATTGAAAGCAATGCTGACCTGTTTTCTTTCTGCCACTAAGTAGAATGTATAGCTATTGTATCCTTTATTGTGTATGACGCAGCTCTATACTTGTATGTGACTGCTGTTTGTATACTTGCTGGTACCTGCATTTCAGGGTTCTTCCTAGAGAGCTCTACAATAGTGTGACTAGATCTGTTCTAACAGCATGTCAGTATTTGACATACTTACACAAGCATTTTAAAGTAGCAAAGGAAAAAAAGCAATATTTGTGTCAATATCAATTAGCCATTAATTAGCCAAAAATGTATTTTTTTTTTTTATCAGTTAATATGTGTTGTGGACCTAGTATCAACAAATGAATCAACAATACAATTGTATTAAATGGCCTTTATAGTTCATAAAGCTGTATTACTTTATAGTAAGGACTAAAGTCAATGAGCATCTAGTTCTTTTATCAACAAATGAATCAACAATACAATTGTATTGGACGACCTTTGTAGTTTGTAAAGTTGTATTATTAGACTTGTGCACAGTAGGTGTGTTGGTAACATTCTTTCCCGAAACTGACATTGTGTTTTGGATGTGTTCAGAATACAAAAGACATCTGCATTTGTATGCGGAAGAATGGAAATGGAATGGAATTCCGAACATTTGAACATATGATGACATCCAGCGTCTGTATCAGAAATGATATAGACGTGTACTGGAACACTATAGACTCTGTCATTGTAGGAGAAGAAAAAGGCAGATGAATGAGAAAACCAATGACGATATTTGTATAACTAGAGGTAACATTCTGATTTGGACTGAAAACGCTATAAGTGCATCCAGCTTGGACCTAATATATGCCAGTGAAGTATTGATTTTAATGATTGTATCGTTTTAATATGTATTTTTAATAGTTAGGTTTATTTGATTTTAACACACATTTGAGTATATTCAGCATATGTATTCCATTTGGAATCGTGGTAGAATGATGAAGAAGAGTAGGTGTTGATCACTGAGGCACTAATTTGCAAAGTTTTTGTTAATAATTACTATAGTGGGCATTTGTTAATAATCGCTACATGCTCATTTTGTGTATTTTTAATTCTACTATATATGAGTTTGATTACTTAAGCTACATGCCATGCTTTCTTTCAGATATACTACAATATTATGACTATATTGTAATAGTAGGACTATTTTCTAAATTACATTTAATGCTTGGTCAAATAGATCTAGTTTTCTGTAGGTTACACTATTAGGAGAACAAATATAATGGGTGGACTTTATGAAACTTGCTGTCAGGATCCGATCCTACTGCAATACCTGTATCTCGCCTCTAGTGGCCTCCCTAGCCACTAGTTACCTCAGTCGCTCTCACCTGTATAGGATAATAATCCAAATCTGCTACAAAAGGCTACACTCAATTTACCACAGGGACTTTACATTGAGAGATGTTTTGTTCTGCACCTGGCTCTTTCTGATAAGACAACTGTTCCTGGCTCAAACTGATTTCTGATAACCTGCTCAACTCTGATTTCCTTTGATCGATCCTGATTCATCCAAACATCCTGCTTTAATTCAAATTGGACTTTGTTTTCTATTAATCCCTGATTTGCTTTGGATTTAACCTTCTAGGACTTTACTAACCATCCTATTAATTTCAACTCTGCTGGAAAACCCTGATCCACATATCTGGTAACTTCTGAACAAATCCTCCAAAATAAAGAGACTGTTTACCTTAACTTAGGACCAACCTTAATTCCATTATCCTTTATTATGCTGTTTATTATTGTCTGATAATATTATGTTTACTTGTTACCTATTATTGCGGTGAGGTTTATTTTTCCGACCGCCTGCACCTCCCACGCCTCCCTCCTCTGTTAGTCCCTACATTGGCTTCCAGTTAGATATAGGGCTCAATTTAAGATTCTGGTGCTTGCTTACAAGTTCCTAATACACAAATATGTCCCGTAGAGACCCCAGTGCTCTGCCCAAGACCTACGCCTATCCTCTGTTCGTACTCCCACATCTGATGCTCACCTCCAAGACTTCTCCAGGGCTGCACCTTTAGACTTTCACCCAGTATCCACTCCTTCAAGAAATCTTTGAAAAGGAGTGGATACTTCTGGAAAGCACATCATTTAAAATGTTAGTGGGTTTTCATCCCTGCCCCCCGCCCCTCATGACTCCTCTTCTGCAAATGTCAAAAAATAACCTACTAGTTCTCAGTGATTACTTTTCTATCAACCTATTTCATTACCCCTATTTATACCCATTGTGTCACTATACCCCATTCCCTCCATGTAAGCTCATTGAGCAGAGCCCTCAAACCCTCTGTTCCTGTACGTCCATTAGTCTGGTTACAATTACATGTCTGGTAGTCCACCCATTGTTCAGCGCTACAGAATTTGCTGGCGCTATATAAATAATAAAATAATAATATTAATAATATTATCTAGGAGCTTGTCCAAAACCCTCCATGTCCACCCAATGCAAATTTCCCCACAAGGTGAAGAATGGTAATATATGCTAATAATAATACTGCATTATGAAAATATTTTTAAATATAAAACTCTGGGTTCCCCCTCCTCTTTAGTCCTATATAGCATCTGCTAACTCAGAGTGAGGTTTTCCTGCTATAATTGAATTTACATCCTGCTGTATAGAAGAGATAAGGAGAGTTTTTTTAGGAATGAGAACTGGCAAGGTTCGGAAAAGATAATGTGATCCCAGTATTACATTCATGTTAACTTTCGCAATTCTGCCCAGCCAGGACAGTTCTAACCGCCTTCAACAAAATAAGTCTTCTTTAATACTTTTGGTTTGGCTTCTATGTTAAGATGACTATGGAGGCACATTTTTAGGGAGTTTGGTGCCAGAGTATTTGTATATGTCTCCAATCATAGGGAAATCATAGCTGATGTATAGCTGCATCAGGGATACCTATAGGGAGGATTTGGGATTGAGAAATGTTTGATTTATGATAGGATAATGCAAGAAACTCTGCTACATTCATCTGATGATTTGGCAGGCTAATAAGAGGTTCAGTAATAGAGATGATGATGGTAAAATCAGCAAACATTCCAAGTTTGCAGGAAACATTGAGAAACAAAGGATAGCCTTGTAAATCCAGGTGACCCCTGAAAGTCATTGCCAGTCATTCTAATACTAAATCATATTGAAGTGGTGACAGAGAGCACACCTACCTGGAACCCTTGGATAATGGAAGTTTAGAAGAATGAAAACCTGAGTTAAGTACTAAAACTGAAGCCTTAGCAGGGCTGGCCCTACCATAAGAGGACACAGGCATCCGCCTTAGGACACACAGGCCCGGGGACACAATTTCCTGCTGACAGGCAGGAGGAAAGCACACAGCACACAGCTACACAACAGTGAGGTGAGGAGACACGTGGGGAAAGTGGAAAGTGGGTAAAACCCACAGAGGGATGGGGGGTTGAGACACATGGGTGGGGGATTGGGGCAATGAGATACAATGCATCTTCAGCTATGTAGCCAAAAATCCTTTTCTGGGGCCCTGGGAATTAGTACAATAAGTCCAATAAGTCCAAAATGTTGTAAGGTTTCAAACAATTGTTGCCAAAGCACCCCTTAAAGACTTCCATGCAATGATAGGAAGAGGCAGGATGTTTTTGTGGCTGACATAGAGTATTACAATTTAAGGTTCACAGGCATTAAGCACATTAGATGACGTAGTAGGGGAGGAGATAGTATTAGATTAATGATACACAGAGTGATGCACTGGATCTACAAGTTGAATGCATTGTATGAATGAGGATAAAGCATTTGTATGGTTTAGAACATTCAGTATTCAATTCATATCACTGTTTGGGTCTTTTTCTTTGAACTGTATTATTTTGGCCTTTATTATTTTGCCATGAATTTGTGTGTGTGTATATTTTCAGATAAATGAACTACCTGAAAACACTATACTAGTAACAATGGATGTGGAATCCTTGTACACCCTGTTCCAAATTATTATGCAAATTATATTTTTCTAATTGACCTAAATAATTGATGTAACTTAACTAACAATCAGCATAATTCAAGCATGTTATCAACTATTAAGAGTACAATTCAAATATTATTGGACAAACCTCCTAATGATAACAGTATTTTTTTAAACATAAAAAACTTATAATGCACTGTTTCAAATTATTATACACAGTAAGTTTCAAAACACTTTATAGGTTGTAAAGAACTGAAAATTGTCATTTGTTGTGTTTGCAGCATGTTTACTGAAATCAAAAGCTATTTCAATCAAACTTATAACAACATTTTAACTTTTTAAACACTTTAACAGGTCACGTTACAACATAGGACCCCTTATTTGATAGCAGCTTCACAAGTCTTGCATCCATTGAACTTGTGAGTTTTTGGACAGTTTCTGCTTGAATTTGTTTGCAAGATGTCAGAATAGCCTCCCAGAGCTGCAGTTTGGATGTAAGCTGTCTCCCACCCTCATAGATCTTTTGCTTGAGGATGCTCCAAAGGTTCTCAATAGGATTGAGGTCAGGGGACAATGGAGGCCACACCATGACTTTCTCTCCTTTTATCCCCATAGCCGCCATTGATGCAGAGGTATTCTTTGCAGCATGAGATGGTGCAGTGTCATGCATGAAGATGATTTTATTAGCGTAGTTCTTCCTTCTGTACCAGGGAAGAAAGTGGTAAGTCAGAAACTCATCTTTACACCTTCTGGGACCCTAAAGGGGCCGGCCAGCTCTCTTCCCATGATTCCGGCCCAAAACATGACTCCACCACCTTACTGACGTCGCAGCCTTGTTGGAACAGGGTGGCCGTCCACCAACCATCCACTACTCCATCCATCTGGACCATTCAGGGTTGCACGGCACTCATCAGTGAACAGGACTGTTTGACAATGAGTCTTCATGTATTTTTCTTCCCAATGCAGCCATTTCTGCTTGTAAGCATTGGTTTGTGGTGGCCGAATAGAAGGTTTATGCACAGTTGCAAGACTCTGGAGGACTCTACACCTTGATGTCCGTGGGACTCCAGAGACACCAGCAGCTTCAAATATCTGTTTGCTGCTTTGTAATGGTATTTTAGCAGCTGCTCTCTTGATCCGATGCATGGATCTGGCAGAAATCTTCCTCAATGTGCCTTTATCTGCACGAACCCGTCTGTGCTCTGAATCAGCCACAAATCTCTTAATAGTGCAATGATCATGCTTAAGTTTTCATGAAATATCTAATGTTTTCATACCTTGTCCAAGGCATTGAACTATTTCACTCTTTTCGGCAGCAGAGAGATCCTTTTTCTTCCCCATGTTGCATGAAAATGGTGCTCTGCTTAATAATTGCTCACCTGGCAATCTAATTATCACAAGTGTCCAAGATTGTTTTCAGTGATCAAAAGAGCCCTGAGACACAATGCCATCCATGAGTTAAACTGAAAAACAAAATATTTAATCTTTGTGACACTTAAATAGAATTTGCATAATAATTTGGAACAGGGTGTACAGTAACATCCCACATAAGGATGATATTGAGGACTGCATTAAATATATATACATACATAAAAGCGTATCAATTAAACTATTAATAGCTCCTGATTGATTCCTCTTCTGCAACTGTAACTAGTCAAATACTATCCTTATCTTTTTGTGTCATTTTATTCCACTCCCTCTAGCATGTAAGCTCATTGAGCAGGGCCCTCAACCCCTCTGTTCCTGTGTGTCCAACTCGTCTGGTTACAACTACATGTCTGTTCGTCGACCCATTGTAAAGCACTGCGGAATTTGATGGCGCTATATAAACAACATAATAATAATAATAATAATAATAATATGTGTATATATACACTGCTCAAAAAAATAAAGGGAACACTTAAACAACACAATGTAACTCCAAGTCAATCACACTTCTGTGAAATCAAACTGTTCACTTAGGAAGCAACACTGAGTGACAATCAATTTCACACGCTGTTGTGCAAATGGGATAGACAACAGGTGAAAATTATAGGCAATTAGCAAGACACCCCCAATAAAGGAGTAGTTCTGCAGGTGGTAACCACAGACCACTTCTCAGTTCCTATGCTTCCTGGCTGATGTTTTGGTCACTTTTGAATGCTGACGGTGCTTCCACTCTACTGGTAGCATGAGTCTACAACTCACATAATTGGCTCAGGTAGTGCAGCTCATCCAGGATGGCACATCAATGCGAGCTGTGGCAAGAAGGTCTGCTGTGTCTGTCAGCGTAGTGTCCAGAGTATGGAGGCGCTACCAGGAGACAGGTCAGTACATCAGGAGACGTGGAGGAGGCCGTAGGAGGGCAACAACCCAGCAGCAGGACCGCTACCTCTGCCTTTTTCCAAGGAGGAACAGGAGGAGCACTGCAAAATGACCTCAAGCAGGCCACAAATGTGCATGTGTCTGCTCAAACGGTCAGAAACAGACTCCATGAGGGTGGTATGAGTGCCTGACCTCCACAGGTGGGTGTTGCGCTTAAAGGCCCAACACCGTGCAGGACGTTTGGCATTTGCCAGAGAACACCAAGATTGGCAAATTTGCCACTGGCGCCCTGTGCTCTTCACAGATGAAATCAAGAAATCCCACTGAGCACATGTGACAGATGTGACAGAGTCTGGAGACGCCGTGGAGAACGTTCTGCTGCCTGCAACATCCTGCAGCATGACCAGTTTGGCAGTGGGTCAGTAATGGTGTGGGGTGGCATTTCTTTGGGGGGCCGCACAGCCCTCCATGTGCTCGCCAAAGGTAGCCTGACTGCCATTAGGTACCGAGATGAGATTCTCAGACCCTTTGTGAGACCATATGCTGGTGCGGTTGGCCCTGGGTTCCTCCAAATGCAAGACAATGCTAGACCTCATGTGGCTGGAGTGTGTCAGCAGTTCCTGAAAGACGAAGGCATTGATGCTATGGACTGGCCCGCCCGTTCCCCAGACCTGAATGCAATTGAGCACATCTGGGACATCATGTCTTGCTCCATCCACCAATGTCACATTGCACCACAGACTGTCCAGGAGTTGGCAGATGCTTTAGTCCAGGTCTGGGAGGAGATCCCTCAGTAGACCATCCGCCACCTGATCAGGAGCATGCACAGGCATTGTAGGGAGGTCATACAGGCATGTGGAGACCACACACACTACTGAGCCTCATTTTGACTTGTTTTAAGGACATTACATCAAAGTTGGATCAGCCTGTAGTGTGTTTTTCCACTTTAATTTTGATTGTGACTCCAAATCCAGACCTCCCTGCGTTGAAAAATGTGATTTCCATTTTTTAATTTTTGTGTGATTTTGTTGTCAGCACATTCAACTATGTAAAGAACAAAGTATTTCAGAAGAATATTTAATTCATTCAGATCTAGGATGTGTTATTTTTGTGTTCACTTTATTTTTTTGAGCAATATACAGTTGCAAGAAAAAGTATGTGAACCCTTTGGAATGATATGGATTTCTGCACAAATTGGTCATAAAATGTGATCTGAGGGGCGTGGCCGACTGTAGAACTAAATGGCAGCACATTAACTGAGCTCCTGGGCAAACACGGAGAAAACCGCTATAACCGGAGGATTACAACAATCATGGGGAACCACAAGAAATCCCAAACCCCCTCCCAGCATCCTGGTAAAGCAATGGCTGGAAAAACTGCCACGGTAACCCGTCTTTTTAAAGAATACACAGACCGCATGTCAGAGCATGGGGAAAGCAACATGGCGCCGACGGCGGCGATCGCAGACTCAGATCTGCTGAGCCCCACTACATCGGTAATCTCACACTGCTCAGTGGACATGGATATAAAAGAACTACTGAAAAACTTACCGTCCAGGACCGACCTGGCACAAATGCTGGGGAAACTGGAAAACACCTTCCAAAGTAAAATGGACGGCCTCAGTGCTGACATAAAACAGGTAGGCTGCAGGGTGCAAGACCTAGAGGATGAGAGGGAGTCCCACCAAACTCAAATACATACCCTATCAGCGAAAGTCCAGGCTCAAGAAAGACACCTCTCCATTATGCAGCGCTCCCTCGATGACATAGACAATAGGGGTAGAAGAAACAATCTTCGGATCAGGGGAATGCCTGAGGAGGAGGAGGAAAATCTATATACCACACTGGCCACATTATTTAACCTTATACTTAACCGCAAAATAGATACCCCAGTGGTCCTAGATAGAGCCCATCGCTCCCTGAGACCCAAATCCACGACTGAGACTCCAAGAGATATTATATGCCGTATTCACTACTATGCACTCAAAGAAGATATTCTGAAACAACTCAGGGAAACTTCAGCCCCGATATTATTCCAGGGTCATGAAATTGAAATCTACCAGGACCTCTCCTGGCACACCCTACAGCCACGGAGGGCCCTAAGACCCATTACAGAACAATTACGTGTACATAACCGGAGATACAGATGGGGGTTCCCATTTGCCCTCATTGTAAACACCCGCGGAACCACGTACTCAATAGCCACACACCAAGATATTGCTCCGTTCACCAAAGCACTAAACCAAGCAGAACCACCCATTATGGACTGGAACACACCGGACCTGGCTCTGACATATACGTCAGCACAGCAAAGAACAAGATGGAGGTCCCCGGCGAAAAGACAAAGAACGACCCTAACTGTAAACCAACATCGGGAGGACAAAGAACGGAACAACACCTTAGAAAACTGAGAGACACCTACAACAGCTCCCTTCCCTGCAGGACTGTCCCAAACTCAGAGAATACAAGATCGACCACCCATAATGGTCTATCCCCCCAAAACTGAACAATCAATAACACCACAATCCCAGCCGGAACCCAATCCGAATACCCCTGTGAAAAGAAACATACAATCAAAACCAGTACCTCAGGTCATATGTTTATGTATTTAACCTATAAGTATTCACAAAATGTGACATGCTATGATATAACAAGAGGTGACCGCCATCTCCTACTGACCGGACAGCAAGGAAACAACAACATTTAACGTTACAGACAAAAGTAAACGACATAAACTAACTACGATAGTAAAGGGAATAGACTAGATCGGACCGAGACAGACCAGGGGTTGGGACATGTAACCCAAACAAGATGAAACAAATTCCCTCCTCATCCATCCCCCCCCCAGTTGTAATTAAAAAACGCAAACCTCCACAAAGCTACCACACGTTCCCAGACGGTTTCGCTCCGTGAGCCCACCAATGCTCACTAAATCTAAAATATACACTACTTGACTTACCCACGCTTCACCCCACACAAAGAACGGTGCCAATTTACTATAGCCCACTGCAGACTCAGGGACATCTAAGGGGCAGACACCCCAGAGTGACCAGAGTTAGAACAAGAAAGTGTTAGACATCCAGTTACTTTAAAAAATATAATATATCCTCTATATAGTTGACCAATTGACGACAACAACCAAACTTTTATTGATTGCTGGTCAGTTCCTATATTCCCTGTCCTTCTCACACTCAATGACTAACATTTCGAAAGCATTCCAGGACTATTACCACTCTTTATACAACTAACGACAAACGCCTCCCTCGACCCACGACATACTAACTTTCCTCACGAATAGGATCCACACCACTCTACCAAACAACCTAAGCGAAACCCTAGAACACCCCATCACAGAAGGGGACTGCAGAAACGCAATCAAACATCTTCCAATAGGGAAAAGCCCAGGCCCAGACGGGTTCACTACAAAATATTATAAAACCTTTGCCACAACTCTTATCCCTCACTTTATAAAATCCTTCAACTCATTACTTCAAGGTAACTCTCTCCCCCCTCAGGCACTAAACGCCACAATTACCCTACTACCAAAACCAGGTAAAGACCTAACCCAATGCGGTAGTTATAGGCCAATCTCTCTAATAAACATTGATCTCAAACTCTTCACGAAAATCCTGGCCAACAGACTTCGCCCTCTGCTGCCCAGGCTGATTCATGCCGATCAGTCTGGCTTCATCCCGGGCAGAGAGGCAAAAAATAACACCACCAAGATTATCAATCTTATCCACCAGGCCACACGAACAAAGGAACCCAGTCTGCTTCTGTCTATAGACGCTGAAAAGGCGTTTGACAGGGTAGAATGGACACTGATGTCATATACGCTACAACATCTCGGATTTGGACCAAATTGGATCTGGATTGGAAATGGATTGGTGCAATATACTCAAACCCCACAGCCAACATCAGGATCAACGGGCAGCTCACTGACCAGGTGCCTATCACAAATGGTACCAGGCAGGGATGTCCGCTCTTCCCCCTTCTTTTCGCACTCATCCTAGAGCCATTCCTACAGGGAATCGGGGACAACACCAACTTAGCAGGAATACTAGTGGGGAAAGAGGAGCATAAAACAGCACATTTGCTGACGATATGCTCTTTACCCTCTCAAACCCAACAAACACATTACAACATCTAATGGAAGAAATGAACACATATAGCGCCATATCCAACTTTAAAGCAAATATCAGTAAATGCGAAATCCTCCCCATACACATATCAACACATATGACAACAGAACTAAAACAGGAATACCAGTTTGCGTGGGCCCCACAAAACATAAAATACCTGTGAGTTTAGATCACCAAGGACACCTATTTGAGAGAAATTTTCCAGACCTTATGAAACCCATACACACAGACCTCACTACATGGAATAAACCACAATTTGGATGGTTCTGCAGGCTGAGCATTCTCAAAATGAATGTTCTCCCTAGGATCCTATATCTGCTGCAAGTTCTCCCCATATCAATACCAAAGACATGGTTCAACTCAGTTCGAAAGACACTCACAACCTTCATCTGGGCACACAAAAACCCACGATTATCATACCCACTTCTTACAAGACCAAAAGATCATGGAGGCCTTGGTCTACCTGATATGGAGAAATACCACAAAGCAGTGCACCTAACTAGTATATATGACTGGTCACTCCCACACAACATGAAACAGTGGGTAACAATTGAAACGACTTTCTTCAGGGCACCCATCTACACAATCCCCTGGCACAAGGTGGGACAATCACTTATGATACCAGGTCCACATTGAACAATCACGCCTACCTTGCGCACTTGGGCGACTCTGAGAACACATAAACAGATGTCACCATACCCTTCTCCACTCTACCCAATTTCACACAATCCTCTCTTTCAACCAGGGGCAGATGGCAAAGCACTAAAACACTTCCAGCAGGCAGGATACCTCACATTAGGAGAAATACATGATACCACTGAGGAAGAAAAAGTTAAACCAATACAGGACCTCATAGAAACACAGACGTCGATTCAAAATTCCCATACCACCAAATAGTACACTTCGTTCACTCAGGCCCACTAGCACACAGTACTACATGAACACAAGCAGAGTTTGAACAACACTGCTCTAAACAAGACCTGAAAAAGAAGCTAATCTCGGTGATGTACACCATAATTCAAACAACACATCCACACCAATTACCGGCTTACACTACAACATGGGAAAAGGAATTAAACATAGAAATACCTAGAGACAAATGGAAACAAATCTTCAGACAAATACACAAATCCGCTAGAAATACAATAACACAAGAAAGCAACTACAAAAGAATTGCTAGATGGCATTACACCCCATCGAAATTACATGCTCTCTTTCCTACAGTACCAGACCACTGTTGGAGATGCCACCAGCCATAAGGGACAACAACACACTTTTGGTGGACATGTCCAGAGATCCGCAGATTCTGGACACGGGTAGCTGGCACGATTTCTGAGGTGTTACAGACTCATATCCCATTACACTCAGACATATACATATTCCTTCTCCCCCCATAAGACATACCAAAATATGAAAAAACCCTGCTAGTACACCTAATCTCAGCAGCAAATCAACTCATCCCAGCCCTCTGGAAACAACCACTCGCACCCACAATGAGAGAGTGGATACAAAAAGTGGAAACCATAAGAAGCGTTGAAGAGACGTGCTATTCTCTAACACACCACTACCAGCAATACACATCCACATGGGACCCTTGGCTCCAATATATGCCGAACCGACCCACTTAAGCGAAAACTATGGCTCCCTTTCTCCCAGCCAACTGGAGCCCAATCAATGAGATGAGATTGGAGGTGTTGGTTACAGCTGCCCTGCCCTATAAAAAACACACACCAGTTCTGGGTTTGCTTTTCACAAGAAGCATTGGCTGATGTGAATGATGCCTCGCACAAAAGAGCTCTCAGAAGACCTACGATTAAGAATGGTTGACTTGCATAAAGCTGGAAAGGGTTATAAAAGTATCTCCAAAAGTCTTGCTGTTCATCAGTCCATGGTAAGACAAATTGTCTATAAATGGAGAAAGTTCAGCACTGCTGCTACTTTCCCTAGGAGTGGCCGTCCTGTAAAGATGACTGCAAGAGCACAGCGCAGACTGCTCAATGAAGTGAAGAAGAATCCTAGAGTGTCAGCTAAAGACTTACAAAAGTCACTGGCAAATGCTAACATCCCTGTTAGCGAATCTACAATACGTAAAACACTAAACAAGAATGGATTTCATGGGAGGATACCACAGAGGAAGCCACTGCTGTCCAAACAAAACATTGCTGCATGTTTACAGTTTGCACAAGAGCACATGGATGTTCCACAGCAGTATTGGCAAAATATTCTGTGGACAGATGAAACCAAAGTTGAGTTGTTTGGAAGAAACACACAACACTATGTGTGGCGTAAAAAAAGGCACAGCACACCAACATCAAAACCTCATCCCAACTGTGAAGTATGGTGGTGGGGGCATCATGGTTTGAGGCTGCGTCAGGGCCTGGACGGATTGCTATCATCGAAGGAAAAATGAATTCCCAAGTTTATCAAGACATTTTGCAGGAGAACTTAAGGCCATTTGTCTACCAGCTGAAGCTCAACAGAAGATGGGTGTTACAACAGGACAATGACCCAAAGCATAGAAGTAAGTCAACAACAGAATGGCTTAAACAGAAGAAAATACGCCTTCTCTGATGCCCAGTCAGAGTCCTGACCTCAACCCGATTCAGATGCTGTGGCATGACCTCAAGAAAGCGATTCACACCAGACATCCCAAGAATATTGCTGAACTGAAACAGTTCTGTAAAGAGGAATGTTCAAGAATTACTCCTGACTGTTGTGCACGTCTGATCTGCAACTACAGGAAACGTTTGGTTGAAGTTATTGCTACCAAAGGAGATTCAACCAGTTATTAAATCCAAGGGTTCACATACTTTTTCCACTTGCACTGTGAATGTTTACATGGTGTGTTCAATAAAAACATGGCAACATTTCATTCTTTGTGTGTTAGTAGTTTAAGCAGACTGTGATTGTCTATTGTTGTGACTTAGATGATGATCAAATCACATTTGTGCAGAAATCCATATCATTCAAAAGGGTTCACATACTTTTTCTTGCAAATGTATATACATATAAATAGTGATAGGAGCAGAAAAAATGGGGGATGGGTCTGCGCCGATGTGTACACTGAGTGTTGAGTATATTATCGTGTCCAAAGTTCTAATTTTGGTGGAGTTCAGAAGGTACGGTATCGTGGAGAGTAGTCCAAATATAAGAAGTAGAAGAGATCTTACTTACAATTAACAGAGCTTAACCCAGCTCTGGTGTGGATAGCTTGCAGCGGTATTATCCCCGCTTACAGGATATTCGGCAGGTATCCTCTTCTTTGTGGTAACAGGTGGCCGTAGTTGGGGAAGATAAAATGAAGACAGTAATGGTGCAGTATGTTCTACACTGATAAAAAATATAATAAAATATGGTAGATACACTCACATTCGGTAGAGCTTAGGCTACCTCTAGTTGGTTAGGCGTACAGCGGTATCATCCCCGCTTATGGGATATATGAGGAGTGATCTTGATCGGAGTATCAGGAGCTCGAAGAGAAGGTAAAACAGCGATAGTGCTCTCAATAAAATCTTGAATGGTAAAATAAAATAATAAAATATACTCACAGTGTATAGGGCAGGCTAACTGCTCTATGTAACAGCGTAGGTGATATAATCCCCACCTGGGATTCTTGGAGTATGGTATACAGGACTTAAAATAATAAAAAAAATAAAATGTAAATAAAAAATAAATAAATAGAAAGTTATTAAAATAGCCAGGTGATAGAAAAGATGATGGTTTAAACGTAAAAATGACCAAAATCTTTTATTAACAATTTATAAAATAGTATAAAATATCCAAACGCGTTTCACCGATGTAAGGCTTTATCAATGGATAACAATCAATGGTTTGTTATCCATTGATAAAGCCTTATATTGGTGAAACTGATTGGTGATCACTCCTCATATATCCCATAAGCGGGGATGATACCGCTGTACGCCTAACCAACTAGAGCTAGCCTAAGCTCTACCGAATGTGAGTGTATCTACCATATTTTATTATATTTTTTATCAGTGTAGAACATACTGCACCATTACTGTCTTCATTTTATCTTCCCCAACTACGGCCACCTGTTACCACAAAGAAGAGGATACCTGCCGAATATCCTGTAAGCGGGGATAATACCGCTGCAAGCTATCCACACCAGAGCTGGGTTAAGCTCTGTTAATTGTAAGTAAGATCTCTTCTACTTCTTATATTTGGACTACTCTCCACGATACCGTACCTTCTGAACCCCACCAAAAGTAGAACTTTGGACACGATAATATACATTGGACTCAACACTCAGTGTACACATCGGCGCAGACCCATCCCCCATTTTTTCTGCTCCTACCATTTGTATTCCAAGGACACTAGAAGGAATCCTTGTTTGGGACTGCTGCCTCTCTGACTAGCGCTGACTCAACCCCCCGTTTTGATATAAATAGTGATGTCCCGAACGGTTCGCCGAACGGTTTGCCACGGACGGTGAACATAAACATAAACTTTGACCCTGTACCTCACAGTCAGCAGACACATTCCAGCCAATCAGCAGTAGACCCTCCTTTCCAGACCCTCCCACCTGCTGATTGGCTGGAATGTGTCTGCTGACTGTAAGGTACAGGGTCAAAGTTTATGTTTATGTTTGCCATCCGTGGCGAACCATTCGGCGAACCGTTCGGGACATCACTACATATAAATATACATATATATAGATATATATATAATACACAAGATCCAGCGCACTCATATACACATAAATTCTATGTATAGTTTTGTTTTCTGTTAGGTGCACATCTTTTTTGCTTTATATCTCTTAGGGAGACTGATAGATAAACTATTTAAATAACTGTTGTAACATCCTTGGTCAATGAGCTAGAATTATTACAATGGTACATCTACTACATCTACATACTAGGTACGCTATCTGTTATTTTTATGCATGTTTTTGGCACCATTTATATTTTTCCAATATTGTAATTTGCTTTTACACTCCTTTTGTCTGCTAGTGCCTTCCACTGCTCGAACATAGTATTCTTGATTGGCAATATAGTGTTTGGCCACTGAGGCACTATATAGCTTGAACAACATTTACGTGATGATATCATGTGTCTCCAAAAAGGTGTAAAAAAAAGAGGAGTTAAGGGCTGCACTATTGTACAGAGAACAGTACCATAAAATAGAAACCAATTGGTTGAAGTGTATAATCAGCAAGTGATAAAACCTGGGTATAATAGTCTCTATTGCAATTATATAAAAATAATGAATAAAACAGAGTCCATCCAGATGTTCAGTAAAGATCAAATGATAAGAAAATGTTGAACAAAATCAATAAAAACAGTCTCACTGATATATGAATAGGGTATTTGTACAATCCTCAGGAGTTGATCCGTCCGGGTTGTAGATAATCCGTATATGAGAAGATAAAAGAAAACACAAAAAACTGCCAATGGTGAAATATTGTAGCTCCAAGGGTAAAAATAAGTAAAAAGGAGGATTGTACACTCACATTTGAGGGAGCTAGGGCCAGCTCTGGGGTGAAGGGCACTTAGTGGTATAATCCCCACTAAAGGATGTACTGGAAGGGTAGGTCCGTCCGTCCAGCTTGGGTTCCGTCGTATTCCACAAGGTATAAGAAACAGCAAATAGTGCTCTCGGTAAGAACAATAAAATAAATAAAATAAAATAAAATATACTCACAAGAGTAGAGCAGAAAATATTGCTCTATTGCCACAGCGCTGGTGGAATTATCCCCACCTATGGATTTCTTGGAATGGGATACAATAAGAATAAAAATAAAAATAAAAAATGCCAGGAATAATAATGGTAAAAGTGTGTGTGAAATACAATAAAATAAGTAAAAGAATGGTCCTATAAAAAAGGTAACCAAAAATAACTTTTATTGTTATAAAATACACAATTTAAAACCATTAACGCGTTTCACCTATAAGGCTTTATCAAAAATGATAATAGAACAACCAAATTGCAGCGGTTCGTGGGGTTTACGGGGGTTATGGTGTTCCAGTGCAGTGCTTATGGTACTCGCCAGTACTAGGAAGCAGCAATTGACAGAGGTACCCAGTCTGGGTGCCAGGCGATCCGTCACACACACCCTGACACACAGATACGCACACTGACAAATACACACATATATGCACACACTGACAATATACACACAAACAAAGATGCACACCCTGACAAACAGATGCATATGCAAAGATACACACACACACACACAGATGCACACCCTGACACACACACACCTTGACACAGATACCACACCTTGACACATATGCACGCACACACCTTGACACAGATACACACACACACACACATGAACAATGTGACATACACAGAAACACATACACGTGATCATTTTGATATCCGCAGTCACCCTTCTGTTAGCTTACTTGGAGGTGAGGGGTGTGGAGCAGCTCTTCATTCTCCCCTCACTTCATGCTGCCTCTGTGGCTGCATCCTCTCCCTCCTGCACTGTCACTCGGCACAAATCTGGGAGGAAGTGACAGGATGTCACTTTCTTCCAGCCTGCCGACACTACAGAAGGCTGGAAGAAAATGTTTCCTGGTGCTATGTTCACAGCAAAAACAGGAAACATTTTGCCACACCCCTTTGTGCCAGTCACAGAGTTTGAGAACCTGATGGTCTAGTAGGTAAATCTTTGAACATAACTATAATTTATTTATTTCTATGTATATTATTTTATCTTCATATGGTTTCTGTAGACAAGTGTGTATACACGGTAAATATATTGCTGGACGAACATAGAGCTATTGTGATTAACTAGGTGTGCTTTGGTGTTTGTATATATTTTCTAAAGGGTTGACTAGAACAGGAAATTCAGCAGCAGACCCTCCCTCCCAGACCCTCCCATCTCCTGGACAGCTCACTAAGAATGCAGCTTCACAGTCAATGTAAAATGGATGCTGTCCAGGAGGTGGGCGGGTCTGGGAGGGAGGGTCTGCTGCTGATTGGCTGAAATGTGTCTGCTGACTGTGAGGTACAGGGTCAAAGTTTATGTTTATGTTCGCCATCCGTGGCGAACCGTTCAGCGAACCTTTCGGGACATCACTATCCACGAGGCTAAACTACTAGAACTAACATGATTGGTCTTCTTACTGACAGCCAGTGGGTGTAGCTGGGTTTATTTGTAAAGGTGTCAATTTCTATTGAAATCTGGACTTTTTGTAAAATGAAAAAAAAGAGTGCACACTCTTCAACAATAAAGCTGAAGAGTTGTAGGTCTCTAAAGTGTCCCTTTAAATCACCAATCAATGTGTTTTTGTGATATTTTGTATGTTTTTACCTTGTCCTAGTCCAGCTACTTTTTGGTCTTATGTTTTTATTAGAGTGATAGATATTGTACTAAGTACATATAACTTCATTCATTTTAAAATTTAAATTCCTAAATATCTCAATTTCATCACATTGTTATATTTAATATACACACCAAATTAAACAGTACACTTTGGATAGCTACCAAATCCTTTATGGGCATAGTGCAAAGTGCATATTATAGATGTTACCCTCATTTTTAAACTGTGTCTTTCTCCACCTTCAAATCTTATTAGTTTAGCTAAAAGAAAAAAAAAGCTAGGGTTTGCAGCTCTCTTCAGTATAGCCCTGTGTAGTTTGTATACAGTTTTCTTATTAGTTGTGTTTTCAGCACTTATTTAAAAGATGAGCTGCTAGCATCTATTACCTCCATGGCTAATCATTGTCCTGTTATTATTTGTACTCTTTGTCCTTAGCACAACTTTAAATACTATTCAGATAATAAAGCAAAACTAAAGAGATGAACATGGAGAAAACAAAGTATCAACAAAAGGCCAGAACCTATATAAACCAATCTATTGCACTTCTTTTTGTTCTTAGAGCAGTGGTGGACCTATGGTATAGCAGATATGGCACATGCCCTGGGAGCCCCTTGAAGGTGGCTCCATGTCAAACATTTCTAATAATCACATTACCCAACACCTAGGACAGGCAACTTAAATTAGTCAGGGGTTCAGAGCTGGCAGCGTGAGGTCCAAACCTCAGTAACGACTCCCTTGCATTCCAAAGCTCTCTCTATAGTTAGTCCCAGCGCAACTGTTGGATGTCCCTAGTTTGAGTCTGAGTGCCTAGTGAGAGGGAGCCATTATTGAGGTCTACATTCACCAGTGATAAAAAAGTTAGTGCCCAAGGAGAGGTACAGAACAATGCAATTGGGGTATTGGGCAGGTCACCTCTGCCTGAAAATCTCTCATTACACCTGCTAGACCACTAAGCAGCGTTAATCCCTGCTTAACCACCAGAGAGTATGACCCATATATTTAAACTCAAAGTTCCTGAATTGCACAGAGATAAGAGATAAAATGTAATATTGCATTACAAAAGCAAAAAATAAATACAATCCCAGAGTTTATTGAATTAGAATCTACCCGCTTAACTCAGTATACTCCAAAAATATAACACTGAAATGTATTTCTCTAACATTACGAAGTACACTCATACAACTGCAAAATAAACAAATAGTCTGCTTTATTCTAAGCAGATGCATAACAGCTTACTATATCACTATTGTCGGCTACAGCAATGTAATAGGAGCTGCACAAAATGAGTTCTACACACAGCTCTGGTTGGCTTTCTCTGTAGTGATGAGTGACATCATTACAGAGGGAGGGAATTGTGGAACTGTGTGCCATCAAGAGGCACCCTGTTCCTCTTCATTACTTACCTGTGACACAAGACGCCAGCCAGCCTTTCCAGCCAGTAAGATTGTTTAGTTTAAGAATTGTATTAATTGCAGTGTGCAAATTGCTGGGCAGCTCCTAGGAAGGAAAGTGTAAGAGCTGGGAGTGTAAAGTCTGTACCTTTAGCTCCATGACTAGACCACCTGGAGTCCAGGATCCCCACTAGACTGCCTGAGTGATAGGACCCACCAGTGAACCACCAGAGATCCAGAAAAGCAAAAAATGGGGGGGGTGAAGTAGACACCCACACGCTACATACAGCCAGCACATACCACATACACATTACATATAGCCAGCACACACCACAGACACACATTATATATTCAGCAAGTCCTCACCACAGACATATTACACACAGTAGGCACATGCCACAAACACAAAAACAAACAAACACACACCATTGGGGAGGACAGTGGGCGAGACACTAATGTTCGCAAACATTTCCAGTTGTGACTATAGCTGAGTTGGATAATTTCTCCAGATTAGCTATTTTTGTGTCAATTTTTCCCTTTGGATTTCATTTGGGAAAGTTTGGTGAATAATACAGCCAATATCCTGGCCTAAACAGGGTCCCCATACTTTCTAGGACAAGTAGATTGCCATGACGGACAAATAGATTAAGCTAACAATCTGTGCCCTTGGACACATATTTTTTAAACATTTCGACAGTCCTGGAAAGGTAGTGGACAGTGAGATAACACTGGGCAGACACTGCTAGTGATGCAATGGAAGTGAGAAATGAGAGAAGGATGGCACTGGGGGGCACGTCTAAAGAAGAGAAAGACAATGGACATGATAATTGAGAAAAAGGTGGCACTGGGAGAGAACACTGGGGCATCACCACTAAAGAAGAATGGGTAATAGAAGTAAGGATTGAGAAGGGAGGCACTGTAGGGACACTGCTAAAAAAAAAGAGGTGCAATGTTGGTGAGAATTTAGAGAAGGATGGCACTGGAGAGACATTGCTAAAGAAGAGGGACAATAGAAGTGTCTAATTTTCTCATACATGCCAATTATACTTTAAAACACTGCTGATATAAGCACAGTAAAAACACAATAACACATACTAATGTTCTAATAAATTTAATATATTGTAAATTGCACTTTGATTGCCTCATTAATACAATTCATTAGACATGGTGGATTCTTCTGAATGAGCCAATTCTGGGGCTGGTGGTACCCCAGTCAGTATATCTTCTGTACTCTCCAGGTCTCAGGTAATACTGGCGGCCCCTGTAGTTAGGTTCCTCATAGAACATCCAGTAGCCATCAAGTACCTGGCAGGAGTGGATGTCATTGTAACGGAATCTGTCATAGACATTGGGGCAGTCTTCAGTGAACTCCATCATATGATCTCTGAAATCTTCTCTATCATAGATCTTCACTCTGAATAAACCATGGTGCTTTAGGGAAAGTAAATTCATAAACAATTAGTCGCTGTATAATAATATGTAGTATTTCATTTGAAATATCAAAATCATACTCTGGCATGGTTATTCACTAAAGTCCTAATGGTCCTATATTGAACATGGTGAAACCATCCAGCTGCATACGGGGTCATGCCATCTGTAAAATCGAGACATTGTTTATACTGCTTATCAATGTCTGGATTTTGCCAGAATTTGCAACTGATTTAAGCTGGATTGAAAGCTGTCAGAAGGATGAAAACTGGATCCAAATGCTTTAAATCTGAGCCCAGACGCATCAAATCCTGGCCTGGATTTAAAAAAAAAAATCCAAATTATTTGTCTGCTGGCAAGCAAACAGTGAAATAAATCTCTACAGTGACAGATAGCAAACAGTAGAAGGGATTCTCTAGTGTACAAATATGTATTCCTTACACTATAGTCCTCTCTGCCCCCCTTCCAGCCAACTTCTCCTGGCACTACCAGGGTTACAAAACCCTTTTAACACTTACCCGATTCCAGCGACAAGGTCGGCATTCCGTCTCCCTTCGACATCATCCAAAAGTCACTTAGCAAGCAGGAAGTGCCTCTAGTGGCTGTCTGAAGGACAGCCACTAGAGGCAGTATTAGTCCTGCAAGGTAATCATTGCAGTTTCTCTAAAATTGCAATGATTGCATTGCAAAACTAAAGGGGACAAGGACATTGAGCTGAATTGGTCTAAGTGCCTATAGTGTTCTTTAAATAACTATCTGCAGTGTTGATTAATTATGTAGAAGCTGGTCAGTGCTTGCTAACCAGCCGCCATGTTCATTAGTTTTAAAAAAAATGTTTCTATGGGAATCAATAAGATCCCCATATTATTGTAAGGGAGGTATATGGAGATATGGCTCCACCAGCAGGTGGAGGCAAATCACCTAAATGTTTAAAATAGTGACTGGGCAGCCATTGACACTACCCAGTCACTAAAAAGGCCATATCCCATGGAATGGAGCCTTTAAAATTATAATGAATACATAGTCTTCCTCTGCCCTCCAACCCCTTCCCTGGGCATGGGTGGGTGCTATTTAATAAAAGACAATGGTGAAATATCCTACTGTTCCCACTCATGGTTATTAGAAGGAAAATATTAAATTGTGGTGAATGGCAAGCAAGTACTGGCCAGACGCAACATAATGCATGTGTTCCTGAATTTCAGTAAACTAGTACTTTGTGAATATTCCGAAACCTAAACTTTGGATAGACTTTGGATGCAAAAACAGCAATTTTAACCTGCACACATATGAATTCTGGATGGAATCAAGTCGTTTTCACCATCTAGGGTAAACCCAGTGTCTAGTGAATAATCATGTGAGGGTCTTGTTATCCTGATACTGTCTCAAGTGATTTTCATAGTTTAATATATACTTTTTGATTTAAGGTATACTGTATTAAATTTGTAATAATGTTATTATAATAATGTTATACTAAAGAAAAATATACATTTTCCAACATAAATGTATATGTAAAATGAATTTCGATGTGTACCTTTCATTCTTTATATACAATTGTTTATGGTTGTAATAACACATGTTTTTCAAAGGGTTTAGATGTAAAGCAGTTTTTTATAAAATGTTTATACCTGTGGGCTAATACGGCATGATCTGATAGAGTCATTGAACCCCATCCATTGATTGAAATCAGGATATTCTCCCCTCCTAAGGTAATACTGGTGTCCTCTATGGTTAGGGTTCTCATACAGGATCCAGTTTCCATTTTCCACTCGGATGGAATTGCAACGCTGAAAATATTTGGTCAAATCTGAACACTCAGAGCTGCATTCATAATGGTGGCCCTGAAAATTGTGATCTTCATAGAAAATAATCTGTTGAAGAAAACATACAGTAAGTTTGAATATTTGGTTTTGTTAAATTAAAAATGATATACTGATAACGTACTCTTGTATTACAGTGTCTAGTTTGATTTCTAATGATTGAAGATGGCATCGCATTGATTAGATAAAAAAATAATTGACATTTAAACTTTGTTCAACAAGGCCCATGCATGCTTGTTCATGTGTTGGTTGGGCTTGGATGAATGTTGTCCATCGAATAAGATTTGAAAAAACAATTGGGCATGCTAAAATATTGGAAATAAGACACCTATTAGTGTACGGCAATGCAAAATGGCTAAACTATTGATTAGCTTACTGGCTACACAATATGAACCCTTTTTGCAATGCCAATTCTGAGCTACATTCATAATTGTGGCCCTGAAAGTTGTGATCTTCATAGAAAATGTTGAAGGGAGCATACAATAAGTTTGGATATTTGGTTTTGTTTCCTTGTTTGTTTGTTTTTTACATTTTCATTATATTCAGACAGTTTATCCTTATATTGCAGTGCCGAGTTTGCTTTTTAATTGTTTAAATTGCCATTAGACGTGTGCATGGCGTGATTCTTTGGTTTAGGAAAAAAAAAGAATTCCGAAATTGAAATTTTGTTTGACAAGTCCAATGCTTGTTCATGTGGTGGTTAGGCTTGGCCCAATGTTGTCCATGGAATAAGATTAGAAAGCACATTTAGGCATGCCTAAATATGGGAGACGGCACCTATTAGTCTAGAGCAGTGGAAAAATGGCTACAATATTGTAAAGTTTGTATTTCTGAGGTTTGAGGAATAATAACATGAAGAAGTCATACACAGAAAAACACAATAAAGTTAAGAAAACAAAGTGTATTTCATAACATCTTGCCATTTCAGTTTGTTCTCAGTTGGGAAACCTTTTCTCACAATTACAGCCTAACAACAGTGTTACCTGAAGTGAGACAAGTGTTTTAGTTCATCAGGTATTGTACTATTTTGCTTCTGTCAATTGTATTTTTATTCCTTGGTTCCATGTCTGATTAAACAACTTTCCTTAATTGGCCCAACAGATTTACAGTATAATATTTTACTGAAAATTGTTTTGCACACCGCAGCAACATGATTATCATATACTATCCTGGAAAGGTCGTTTCTTAGCTCAAGTATATGCTTGATGTAATTTTTTATATTTACAGTACCATTAATCACACAAAATCAGCCCACATCACATGTTACACCAATCAGCATCTCCCCATAGAGTTTCATTGAATCTTAGGGGAATGCTCACCGTTTACATGAAGTGTGAGAAGGTGCACAATGCCAGTGCTGCTCGCTGTGCAGTACTGGACTAGGAAGCACCTCTAGTGGCCATCTGAGCGATAGCCACTAGAAGTGTTACTAGGCACTAATGTAATTAATGAATTAATCTGTAGTTGCTCTGGTGACTATTGTGTCCATTTAAAATGCTAATAGGGCATTTTTTATTACACACTCAAAGACTGGTCACACAGACTGAATGAGTAGGAAAAAAAGTGGAGAAAAAAAGTGGACGTATTTTAGAATGCAAAAAAAACAAAAAACTGCGCCCTATCAACTTTTACAGGCAGTAATTGCAGAGGAGTTTAATTTTCTCGCCTAAGTTCCAGTGTCAGTTTATCAAGTACAACAATTTATTTAAAAGTGAGTTTAGCTGATATCAGTTTAGATTGCTTTCAAATGACCTTACCTTTCCCATTTTCAATGTTGCGGTAATCTGTTCAAGCAAGCTGTGTGGTTACACAGGATGAGGGGCCTTTATATACCATGTACAATGCTGAGCTGTTTTCTTTCTGCCACTAAGTAAAATGTATAGCTATTGTATCCTTTATTATGTATGACACAGCTCTATACTTGTATGTGACTGCTGTTTGTATACTTGCAGGTACCTGCATTTCATGGTTCTTCCTAGAGAGCTCTGCAATCATGTGACCAGATCTGTTCTAACAGCATGTCAGTATTTTACATATTACATAAGACAGAACATTTTAAAGTTGAAAAAGAAAAACACTATTTGCTATGATAATCAATTAGCCTACAATTTTCAGTTTTATATTTGCTGGATATTTTTCAGCTTCCTGACTCTAAAAATAGTTTTCTTTATCAGTTAAAGTGCCCTATAGTGCCCCCCCCTAACTTGCCCTGCCCCACCCCCGTGGTGTACAAGGGGTCAAAAACTTGTCACTTACCTATTTCCAGTTCAGATGTCCCACGGTGCTCCTCCAATGCCAACGTCAGTCGGCGGGGAGGACCTAATGCACATGCGCAGTGATGTGTGGCGATTGTATAATGCATAGCATGAAGACATCCAGTGTCAGGTGACCAAAAGTCACCTAATGACCAAGAAATCCCTCTAGTTATGGAGTTAACCCAGGCAGGTAATTATTGCATTTTATTAAAAACTGCAATAATTACAATTGCAGGGTGAAGTGGTCTGGGACACTGCACTGTAATGAGCTGAAGTGGGCTCGGTGCCTATAGTGCCCCTTTAATAGTAACAAGTTTATCAACAATTGAATCAACAATAGATACAATCATAGTGTACTTTTGTACTTTGAACAATTTTATTATTATTTATTGTTGGTTCATCTGACTAATTTTTCCAGAAATTGACATTGTGCTTGGGATGTGTTCAAAATACAAAAGTGTGTGCATTTGTACAGGGAGTGCAGAATTATTAGGCAAGTTGTATTTTTGAGGATTAATTTTATTATTGAACAACAACCATGTTCTCAATGAACCCAAAAAATTCATTAATATCAAAGCTGAATATTTTTGGAAGTAGTTTTTAGTTTGTTTTTAGTTATAGCTATGTTAGGGGGATATATGTGTGTGCAGGTGACTATTACTGTGCATAATTATTAGGCAACTTAACAAAAAACAAATATATACCCATTTCAATTATTTATTATTACCAGTGAAACCAATATAACATCTCAACATTCACAAATATACATTTCTGACATTCAAAAACAAACAAAAACAAATCAGTGACCAATATAGCCACCTTTCTTTGCAAGGACACTCAAAAGCCTGCCATGCATGGATTCTGTCAGTGTTTTGATCTGTTCACCATCAACATTGCGTGCAGCAGCAACCACAACCTCCCAGACACTGTTCAGAGAGGTGTACTGTTTTCCCTCCTTGTAAATCTCACATTTGATGATGGACAACAGGTTCTCAATGGGGTTCAGATCAGGTGAACAAGGAGGCCATGTCATTAGATTTTCTTCTTTTATACCCTTTCTTGCCAGTCACGCTGTGGAGTACTTGGACGCGTGTGATGGAGCATTGTCCTGCATGAAAATCATGTTTTTCTTGAAGGATGCAGACTTCTTCCTGCTTGAAGAAGGTGTCTTCCAGGAACTGGCAGTAGGACTGGGAGTTGAGCTTGACTCCATCTTTGATGATACCTCAGCCCAAACCAGTACTTCCACTTCCGTCTCTCTTGCTGGCGCCTGGAGTCAGACTGGAGTTTCGTTCTTTATCACTAATCCAGCCACGGGCCCATCCATCTGGCCCATCAAGACTCACTCTCATTTCATCAGTCCAAAACCTTAGAAAAATCAGTCTTGAGATATTTCTTGGCCCAGTCTTGACGTTTCAGCTTGTGTGTCTTGTTCAGTGGTGGTCGTCTTTCAGCCTTTCTTACCTTGGCCATGTTTCTGAGTATTGCACACCTTGTGCTTTTGGGCACTCCAGTGATGTTGCAGCTCTGAAATATGGCCAAACTGGTGGCATGTGGCATCGTGGCAGCTGCACGCTTGACTTTTCTCAGTTCATGGGCAGTTATTTTGCGCCTTGGTTTTTCCACACGCTTCTTGCGACCCTGTTGACTATTTTGAGTGAAACGCTTGATTGTTCGATGATCACGCTTCAGAAGCTTTGCAATTTTAAGAGTGCTGCATCCCTCTGCAAGATATCTCACTATTTTTGACTTTTCTGAGCCTGTCAAGTCCTTCTTTTGACCCATTTTTGCCAAAGGAAAGGAAGTTGCCTAATAATTATGCACACCTGATATAGGGTGTTGATGTCATTAGACCACACCCCTTCTCATTACAGATGCACATCACCTAATATGCTTAATTGGTAGTAGGCTTTCGAGCCTATACAGCTTGGAGTAAGACAACATGCATAAAGAGGATGATGTGGTCAAAATACTCATTTGCCTAATAATTCTGCACTCCCTGTATACTGAAGAATGGAAAAATGAACAATAAATTTGGTTTTCCGTTCACTTAATCAGAATTGGAATGCCACTCATAAACATATGACGACATCCAGCATTTGTATCAGAACTGATGTAGCCATGTACTGAAACGCTATTGACTCTATGTCATTATAAGAGGAGGAAAAAGGTAGGTACATGTGGAAATCAATGAAGATATTTGTATAGCTAGAGGTAACATGCTGATTTGGACTGCAGAAGCTATTAGTGAAATGTGTCATGGATATTATATACGCCAGTGAAGTATTGATTTTAATGTGAATATTTAATAGTAAAGTTTATGTGATTTTACCACACATTTGAGCATATTCAGCATTTATCCCATTTAAAACCCTGGTAAAATGATGAAGAAGAGTAGGTGTCAATCACTGAAACACTATGCATCAAGTTGATATTTTAAAGCTTTCCCTATATTAGTGGGCAATTGTTAATAATTACTAAATGCTCATTTTGTGTATTTTTGGCTCTACTACATGTGAGTTTGGATTAAGACATGTCATACTTTATTTAGGATATTCTACAATATTATTGTTTGTTTTTTTACATCCTTTATTTTGGTGTGCAGAGTAATACAAGCAATCAAGTATAGACATTTAAACAAGCGTATGTATGACAATAAAGGGTGTATGGAGGTAACGTAAATGTCGAGGATACTGCACATTTTATATTATATAATGCATGAAATGAGTGTGAGTCAGGATAGGAGCAAAAAATAGTGTGCTTGTCATGATAGCTGACTACATTTGTAAATAATGAGGAAAAAAAACACAACATGAGTGACTGTCTGTGAAGGCAAACTTAGAAAAGACCAACAGATAGCAATCAAGATGTATTAAACTGTCAACAAATATTAAATGGATATTATTACATATATTAGATAGCTAGAGGCAAGGTATCCGGACGGTAATCAGGATAGTGGGCAGCAGATTTAATGAATCAAAAATAAAAACAATAAACGAAAGCTAGAGGAGATCCTAGCAGGTTTCAAATATAGTCAGTGTCCAGATTTCATCCGATACCACTGGCTTGGTTCAGTTGGGATCCGGATGTTTGTTTATGTAGGTAAATGTAGGATGTCCCATCACCTCTGAGCCACACACAGAGATCATCCACAACAGGAGGCAATATTGGGGACAACCCACACCCTGCTCTCCACGCCCAGGCTGGTATATAAGCCTGTGCCTTTTCACCACTAGACATACCAATTTCAGTGGTAGGGCTACATTCCCACATGAATCCATATGAGGCCCCACAGAGTTGTGGGCATCTGATGGGCATAGCGTCCATCTGGGCCATCCCTCATTGGGATCTACCGCAGTTGCAGTCTTCTTTAAAACTTTTCCCTTTGGCTTCTATGTTAAGAGGGACTACGGGGGAGGGGAGGGGGCAAATTTTGGGGGGGGTTTAGTGGCAATGTATTCTCTGTAATAATGTCTCCAATCAAATAACAGAGGACCCGGCATTATGAAATAGGAACACTGTCAATATGGGTTTAGCCAATGCCACAAGTAGGCCTCAACAGACAGTCTCCAAGCCAGTCATGCTATCACCTCTCTCCCTCTCACAGTTAGTGGTGTATCCTGGTTTTGTGCTGCCCTAGGCAGGACAAAACTCAGGCACCCCCCAAACACCACCCCCCCCCCGCGCGTGCGACCCCCACCAATCCCTTCCCCCCGTCCCGCCTTCTAAATACACACACACACTCACTGACAGATACGCATACACTAGCTAAACACAGAAACACAAACTCACTGACACACACAGACACACACTCACTTACTAGCAGACACACACTAGCAGACACACACACACTCACTGACACACTCACAGGCAAACATACACACACAGTCAGACACGCACACACAAACACACACACTCACTAGCAGACACACACTAGCGGAAACACACTAGCAGACACACACACTCACTGACACACACACTCACACTCACTAACAGACACACTCACTAACAGACACACACACTCACTAATTGACACACTCAATAACAGACACACTCACTCACTAACAGACACACACTCACTAACAGACACACTCACTAACAGACACACTCACTGACACACACTCACAGACACACTCACTAACAGACACACTCACACACACACACTAACAGACACACACTAACAGACACACTCACTCACATTAACACATGTATTTTTTTAACCCCCCCCCCTCCAGCCTCCTTACTTTTTGGAATGCTGGGGGGGAAGGTTTTCTCTATCTCCCTGGGGTCCAGTGGCTGCTGGGCGGGCAGGTGGCTGGCGAGGGAGCTCTTCCCCTGAGCTGTCTGCTCAGCTCCCTTGCACGCCTCAGAGTGAGGCTGGGAGCCGGAATATAACATCATATTCCAGCTCCCAGCCTCACTCTGCAGCGCGCGAGGGAGCCGAGCAGACCGCTCAGAGGAAGAGCTCCCTCGCCAGCTGCCTGCCCGCCCGCCCAGCATGTCTGTTAGCCGCAAGGCTAACAAGGCATTTGCTCTGGGCATTTGGGGGCAGCTTTTTTTGCCGCCCACTGAAAAATGCCGCCCAAGGCAAATGCCTTGTTTGCCTCATGGCTAAAACGCCCCTGCTCACAGTCCCCCCAAGCAGCCAGGCACCATTCATGTGAGCAATGGAAGATTTGTTGAATTCGGATAATCCACCCTCCCATTTGCAGGCTTATTAGGGAGCCAGTGTCCCACCCCAAAGGGTCTTGCCTCTCTGCCCAGCATGAACACAGGCTTCAATAAGCTCTGGTGCCTGGAGAGTCTGTCGGGAAGTCAGGCAGCAAGATGGATGCACCTTCATATGGGACCCCCCGATACAGTGCCGGACCAGTGAGGGATATCCCAGTCCCCATGGGAGTAATTACAGTTGTCAGAGCTGCACTTATCTCCCTACAGAGCTCCACTCTAACTGCACTTCAATCAAATCGATCATACAAGATGGCAGACTCATCTACATTGCAGGGCCTGAGCCCATCCCAGCAACCTCAAGATCTATTAAATATATCCTCTTGAAGCTGGATAAGATATTTAGGAATTTCTGGCTCGAACTGCTTGAGCAAAAAATAGCTTTCCTGATTGGACTGCGGGATGAAAAGTGGAATAGCATTCTGCAGGGAGAGCACCCACTTGGCGACAAAATATAGCAAGCATCTACCCATTATGTTATCCGCCTACCTGGGCCAAAGGCCTCAAGAGGCTTGGTCTCATTCCACCAACCACAAGCTTTATAGATCATATGCTGAAAGCAGCGATCGAGATCTAGATCTTCCGACCATATCAGGAGGTGGTATAACACTATCTAGCTCCAGAGGAAGATTGTAAATGCCAGTCATGATCATCTAGCATGTTATTTAATGCACACAACCATCTACTACCATGTCTATTTTTATTCTTTTGTTAGAATGTTTTGCTTTTCTCAGTTAACATGACATGATAACCTAAACATGTACATTACACTAAATTAAAAAACTGTGCTCCACCACTGAAATGGTCAATATGTATGACATCATGCAATCTGTTACTCCATGACAACTGTTTATCTTGTACATGTTGGGGCATTACGGGATTCTTTTGTACTCTCATGTACAGCAAAAAAATAAGCTCAGTTGTGCCAGAGCTCTCAGAAAGCATGTCTGGTTAGCACGGCTCCTAGACACTGCCCCCCTCCTCCGCATATATGTTTAAATATTATTGCGTTTCTGTTTGACAGCATGTGTCTTGGAATTGGATGGTTTAGTTTTGTTTCCAATTGACATTTGTTTAGGTTTTTAAAACCTTTTTTTTTCCTCTGATTTTTTTCCTGCTGTTCTGGGGATCAGTGGAATTAGTGTTTTATCTATTCCCACTGTTTTTGTACTGTATATTTCTTAGTATGTATCATTGGGTAATAAATATGAGAATGTGATAGGCAAATACAGCAAAATATTTTTTAAACACATTAATTAAAAAAAAAAAAATATGAAAGTGAAGGTACACTGAAAACAGAGATGGTGTATTACTTAGTTACATAGGCTGAAAAGATCTGTCAAGCAAGTTCAGCCTTGCCAAAAGAAGGTAAAAAAACAGTTTGAAGCACTTCAGTTTTGCAACAAAATATGAAAAAAATCCTTCTTGACCCCAGAATGACAGTCAGATCTCTCCTTGAATTAAGAAGCTATTACTCAACAAATTAAACATTATATCGCTGAATGTTATGCTTTTGCAAATATTCATCCAATTGCTGTTTAAACATCTGTACAGACTCTGATAAAACCGCCTCTTCAGGCAGAGAGTTCCAAATCTTTATTGTTCTTACTGAAAAAAACAACTTAAATTACCAATATAAATGTGTGACCTTGTGTACTATGTATATTCCTGTTAATTAATCAATTATTAATTATTAATTATTAATGGGTTAAGCCTTCCCCCAAAGCCTCTAGTGGCTGTCTCATTGACAGCCACTAGAGGCGCTTGCGTGCTTCTCACTGTGATTTTCACAGTGAGAGCACGCCAGCGTCCATAGGAAAGCATTGTAAATGCTTTCCTATGCGACCGGCTGAATGCGCGCGCAGCTCTTGCCGCGCGTGCGCATTCAGCCGGCGGGGTGGAACGGAGGAGGAGAGGAGGCAGAGAGCTCCCTGCCCAGCGCTGGAAAAAGGTAAGTTTAAACCCCTTTCCAGAGCCAGGCGGGAGGGGGACCCTGAGGGTGGGGGCACCCCCTTTCTTCATAACACAAATGTTCTGTTCCTTTTATTAATTTGAAGGCCACCTCTGCACTTTTCCTAGTGCCATAATATCCTTCTTTAGAACAAGTGCCCAAAATTGAAAAACGTTTTCAATTACCAGTCTTACCAGTGATTTATAAAAAGGCAAAATTATATTTTCATCCAGAGAATGAATGCCTCTATTTATTCGTGACAATACTTTACTGGCCTTATCAACTGCTGATTGACATTGCACATTGTTAATTAGTTTGTCAATAACAACTCCGCTATCCTTAATTCACTACTATTTAAGGTATAAGTTGCTTGTGCATTCTTTATCCCAAAGTGCATTACTTTGCATTTTTCTACATTAAATATAATTTGAGTGCCCAGTCCCCAAACCTATCTAAATCCCTCTGCAGCAAAGTAATATCCTGCTCACATAGTATTGCTTTACAGCAGTGCTTCTCAACCCTTTCCTCAAGGCAAACTTAACAGTCCAGGATTTAGCGTGTGTCTCAGGTGTTTAGAAAAAAAAACAAACAAAAAAACACCTTAGAGTCTAAGGTGTTTTTAGTTTTTTTTGTTTGAAAAAAACAAACACCTTAGAAACACCCGGCTAATCTCTAGACACCTGACTGTTAGGTGTGCTTTGAGGAGAGGGTTGAGGAGCACTGCCTTGCAGAGTTTTGTGTCATTTGCAAATACTGAAACATGACATTTAATGCCTATTTCAAAATCATTTATAAATATGTTAAATATAAGTGTTCCCAATAGAAGTGTAACATTTTCTAATACATGTTAATTATTATACTTTAAAACACTGATGTTAGAAGCACAGTGAAAACACAGAAACATATACTAGTGTTTTCAATAAATTTAATATATTGTAAATTGCACTTTGATTGCCTCATTAATACAATTCATTAGGCATGGTGGATTCTTCTGAATGAGCCAATTCTGGGGCTGGTGGCACCCCAGTCAGTATATCTTCTGTACTCTCCAGGTCTCAGGTAATACTGGCGACCCCTGTAGTTAGGCTCCTCATAGAACATCCAGTAGCCATCAAGTACCTGGCAGGAGTGGATGTCATTGTAACGGAATCTGTCATAGACATTGGGGCAGTCTTCAGTGAACTCCATCATATGATCTCTGAAATCTTCTCTATCATAGATCTTCACTCTGAATGAACCATGGTGCTTTAGGGAAACCAAATTCATAAACAATTAGTAGCTGTATAATTATGTGCATTATTTCATTTGAAATATCAAAATCGTACTCTGACAGGGTTATTTACTATATTATTATTATTATTTACTATACAGGGTTATTTATGGCCCGGTATTAAATGGGGCAAAACCATCGTCCAAAAACCATTCAATCTGTAAAATCTAGACAGCGTTCACACTATTTAACAATGTCCAGATTTTGCAAAACAAGTGCAGAATAGAATATTTGCTCCAGATTTCAGCTGGATCAAATGCCACCAGTTGGATTAAAAATGGGCTCAAATGCTTCAAACGTAGCTTGGATGCTTTAAATCTAGACCAGGATTAAAAAAAAAAAACATTGAAAATATTTGCCCACTGGCAAGCACTAACAGCCAGCAAG